AAGATCTTCACCTTACTGGGAAACTGAGAGAAATACTCTTACATTTTCTTTATCTTTGTCTACTGTTGGTTATTTGTTTTGCCAACAGAGACAAAAATTTCTACCGACAGAACCACAACTTACAGAACAGCTTACAGTTGGTTGATATAAGGTTTGCTAAAGTACGTATTTTATGATAACATCCCCAAATCACACTGTAATATCGAAAACTATGGGAGTATTTTGTAACCAGGTCGAGCAGATTTTAGTATATTTCATGTCTGCGTCATCTGTATCATTTTGTTATTCAGAATTTTTAAAAATACTTTTTGCGGTTAAATGCTACATTTTGCTTATAATAACAGCCATATATCTGGTACAGGTAAACCAGATCTAAATATATAAATTAGGTTTTTTATTTTTAATCAGGTACAGCGGATAGAAACCATCTTCTCCTGGTTAAATGACACGATTTTCCCGGCCGTTTTTCCCACTGAAGATTACAATGGCGACCCGTACACGGAGGTAGACGATCTAGCCTTCATCCGGGACATGAGGGGGCTGCGTCTGGGACCCTTGCTGCTAAGACAACTAAGGGCGAAAGAAAGTAATAAATTCAATGGTTAAAATTCAAAGAAAAGGCCTTTAATGAATTGATGTGTGCAATGTATGGGCAAAAATGAAAATTGCGGATCTTACCATGCATATAGTAAACATGTGATAAACCAAATATTAAACTTCATGAACAGGTTTACATATTCATATAATTATCCATGTTAGCCGACAGTTCAAGAGTTATTGTTGACTATGTTGACTACTGTTTACTTGTTGTACTTTTACGCTCCCCATTTAGATGTGATTCAACTGTTATCATTCTAGAATCCTGCCAGACTGCAGATTTTATGAGCAAGCACTTCAGTGATTGCATCGCAATGCTGAGCCAAGGAAGAATGGATAAAGGCGCTTATGCTCCAGGTCCGTAGGTTTGAGTACTTATAATATTCCTTTATGTCTTTATCTCATGTTGTCCTATATTCAGAATTGTATACATGTACTTGGTAATTAGAGAAATAGTTTCAGTTTTGTTATATGGTTTTGCCTTCAGAGTTATCTCACCTAACCAAGTTGTTTTAACGGTATTTCTAGGTTGGGTAGCTTCAGCCATGAGCAACGCTTCACGAGTGACCCAAGCGTTTGTATACTCTGCCCCCTCCAGTCGTAACGACTTGACCGTCTACGGTCATCTTGACCACTACGAGGCAGGCGGGTACATGGTGGAGATTAACTCGGCCCAGGACAGCGTTCACACTTTGACCAGTCTTAAAGACCTTAACTGGATTGATCGTTTGACCAGAGCGGTGATTGTGGAACTTACCGTTAACAACGCCAATGTGAACGTCTTCTCCATGGTTCGAATCATCGTGGAACTGCCGGCAATGGGAGGGATATTTATCAAGAAAGAGCTGGTCAGTTTCAGACCTTACCCTTACGTTGAACCCTTCGACTTCGTTCTTCTCATCGTCCAAGTCATCTGGGCACTGTTGGTCATCGCACTGTTGGGGACAGAGGTTGTTAAGATGGTCAAATTAAAGAAGCAGTATTTTCGCCAGAGTTGGCACTACATTGTGCTAGGGGATCTCTGCCTGGCGTTCACTAGCATGGTGTGCTTTGTCCTCAGAACTGTGTACATCATACGGGCGGTTGAGGATGTGAAGAATAGCGGAGGTAAGTCCCGGTATTAATTTAGATAGATAAGATGTATACGTATGATAATTTTGAAAATAATAATGCAGATAGCTCACTGGGTTTTATGGGGGAGGGTGCCCATATTCAGTGTTCTAGGTAAATCAGATTATGTAAATTGGGACAGACCGAAAACGAACACTTTGAACATGAAGTTTTTGCTCCATAATAAATATATAATTCGCTTATGCCTACTGGAGTATGAAACATTAAATTGTACGTAGGCGATTGCCGGGCTTCATATTTTGGTCACATAACCCATTAACGTGATAATCGACAGGTAAATATTTTTACGCGGGCTAATCAAGTAAGTAACAAAGCTTTCATAGAAGCATGTCAACTGTATTAATTCTGTCTGACACATGACCTTGATTTTCAGGTCATTTCGTTGGCTTTGATCGGGTCGCCATCTGGGACAACGCCTACACAGTTACCATCGCCATTGACCTCTTTTTGGCTACTCTACAGTTATTTCGGCCACTGACCTTTAATAAGCACCTTGCTATTGTCCAGTCGGCTTTGAACCGAGCGTTTATCGCAGTGACCACGTATATGTTCATATTTGGTATTTTACTATTTTCCTATGCACAGGCTCTGAACTTGGTGTCTGGTCAGGTCATATCTGCGTTTCGGACACTTCCCTTCGCCATGTTGAATCTATTTGGTGTCATGTTGGGGGTATTGAAATACTCCCATATTATGACAGCAGAAAGCTTTCTTGCTAGGATGTTTTTCACAGCCTTCACCATGACCATGAATTTCATTATCCTGAATATGTTTATATCTATAATAAATGATGGACTGACGGAGGTGAAGGGGAACGAAGAGCTCCAGGATTACGATGAAGAATTGGCAGAACACGTGTGGACTAAACTGGGCTCGCTAGTACGGGCCATATTTCGAAGGAAGGACAATTCGGCTCTTTCTGATGAAATTCCAGGTATTTGTACTCCACACTCTTTCTTTCTAAATTCATCTCTAGTTTTAATCGTTTATGCAATTTTTAACCATCATTTTCACATGTGTTTTCTACAAATGTAAGAATTAACCGTTCACATCATCTGGAGCAAAGGTCTACACTGTACCTATATTCCTGATATGGCATGCTTTCCAAATACAAGTAAGCACACCTGCATTTTTACTTTCGGAAATTTTGGTGTCTTTCAGCGGCTGAAGGATCACCAGAGAAGAAAGTAGATGCGACACTTAGTCCCAATCCTCGGGGAGGTGACGCTACGGCGAAAAACGGTGATCCCCGTCCAAAGAAACAAGGACACCGACGACATAGCAAGCCCAAATTGACTTCCTCAAGAAAAGATAGAAAACAGAAAAAGCTGAAAATTTGCATTGTTGCTTTCTCGCAAAAGGGACGAAGATCAAGCAAAATAGCAACGGAAAATAAGTGGAAGAGTACGGTAAGGTATTTTTAATAACAATTTGTCGCCTAGGTGACTTTACTGTGTCATGTAGCAGGTAGCGTTCATCGTGTGCTTAAAGAATATAATAATAATAATATTCTTTAATTTAACATTATTATCTATTATTATTAAAGAATATGTGGACATAACGTCTCAGAATGAGCGACCAATAGGAGCGTCACATCAACATGACACTGGGATGATTTAATTTGATTTTGACAAATTATTGAAAGCCCTTTTATTTAGATACAAGTGAGCAAATTTGTAGTCACTGTGCAGAGTATATTGAAGGCACGTTGCGTGTGCACGTGTCGAGTTAAAAAGAGACTAGCAGCATTGTAGTTGTTCTTAATTTTGAATTAATTTTCATGTGTCATATACTTAACGTTGTTTTAAAGAACTCTAATTTTGCTTTTTTAGGAAGAAAAGTTGATGCAGATATTCAACACGTACAGCAAAAACGAAAGCCTACAAGAAAAATGGAGGCAAATCGTTGACGAAATACGATTTCAAAATCGCTCTATAAAGGGTTACCGAAATCAACTATCGAAATGCCAGAAGAGCGAAAGTGACCTACAACGAAAAGTGGAACCGGTGTGTGTAAAATGGCAAGAAGAAAACCAGTCCAAGCTTACCGAACGTGAACCACCGAAGAAATTCGCACAAAACGTTGACTGCAATAGTGTTGAACCAAGTGTCCAAAACGACGCAAACGTCGTTCCTTCTGGCATCACGCCATTGGAGTCGAGTAGAGGCGATTTAGCTAGAGCTGAAACCCAAGATGAGGTGAAAACGAAGAAAACCAAAAAGAAACTGAAGAAGGCAGTAAAAGAAGCCATGCAGGCCCTCAGTGTATTGGAACAGATGGGCAATAAAGGTGACAATGTAGACAATGCAGAAGGTAAAAAGAAAACAGAAAAGAAGCAAAGAGCGAGGTTGAATGACACTGATTGAGGCAACTTTAATAATATGTAAATGTACATTTTTAATAATATGTGCATGGGATAATAAAGGAAAATTCGGCTATTCCAATGGATTCCCAATACCACCAGCCGGTACACAATTATGTGTTAAATACAACAGTGAGGACACGCAGTGAGCTAATCACGAAGTCACCCTTGAAAACAGCCAGATGAGTACAACACTCAACAGACTAACGACATTTCAGTTTGTTTTGTTTAATCATGTCACAGCCAGAACTTACAATGTTTTTTTTATTAAAAACAGGCATTTTCAGTCTTCTTCAGGATGTCTCAAGTGCTGATCAGTTTTGCACATGAGTTTTCTTGTAACTGACAAAAATGGTGAAAAGCCAATTTGCTATGAGGAAGAATGTTTTAAGTGTTATTAATTTAAATTTCATAAAATATGGAATGACACACAAAAATCATAACATTAACTTAAAACATGGGCGTATCTTGTTTTTAATTTTTAGTACAAATTGTGTTAAATACGTTAAGTCCGTATTGTTCAGCCTCGTTCCTGTGTAAGAAATAATCACATTGTACACGTGCCTCAGTGTAATGTTTATAGCGGCCACATTCTCAATTTCTGTTACCGCAATTTTACTTATATTAATAATTACTTATTAAGTGTACGTCGACTGTGAATAAGGTTGCGATTAGTAGACCCTGCGATGGAAGTTGCTCATTTGCAAAAAGTAGGAAGACGAACATTGAATCAACGAGTTAAAGACCTGCTCGGCTGCGCTACAGGTGAGACATATATGCACGTGATCTTGTCTCATTGTTCAATTGTTTTCTCAATCACTGTTTTTCCCTAGATTTCTCGCGTCATTGGCTTTTTTTTTTTTTTTTTTTTGACACTGCAAGTCGTCGTATATCGTCCACATTGCATGCATTTGCAAAGTTTTCCAGCGTCTCATTTTGTTAAAACTGCAAAATAAATTCCCACAAATAATTTTCTTTTTTTCTTTATGTAATATGTTATTTCATTTGTAAATCACTGTAATAAACGGAAATTATAAAAACGATGGAGTAGCAATTGTCGAAAAAATTTTCTAGATATTTGAGAAATGTTATTCATTCACTTATGTCGACAAGTAACGCAGCATTGCAAACTTTTTATGCAGTCTCTTCACATCAGAGATTGGTGTAAAAGTTAAACATACAGACGAGCTTTCCTTGACTTAGCTACCGTGAAAAATGACGTTTCTTCAGAAAATAAAAGCAACTGTAAAATTTCTGGCAACACTGGGATATTTCATTTTGGGTTATATACGTCCTGTCCTGCAATACGAGTTGCACATTTTTGCATAAATTCACTTTTACGGTGTACTTTGAATGTTCAACAAAGAGAAACACTGCTAACGGAAACTTTTCATACGCAAGGACGATTGAAAATTATTTTATTTCCAAGACCGATGTACATTCCATGTTTGACTGTAAATATCTTTTATAAAAGAATGGAAATGAATGAATAAAACGAAGAACAGCAGAGTGGTCCTCTTGCTGCTGATCTACACCAAAAAATAAACAAATTAATAAACATAACTAACATAACCAATAAAGGATTCAGATCTCACTATTGATACAGCTACAAATCACAGCTCTGGCTTTTGTTTCGATGCTCTTTCTCTTTCAATCTCCTCAGGAATCGTACGCATCCACAGCTTTATCCTCTCTGGTAGAAGATCGTATCCCATCTCAGTTTGTTTGCCGATGTTGATGTAGCCCTTCTTGTCCTTGGTGTACTCCTCCCATGTTGCCACGCCCTCTAGCGGCCGTCCTTGATTGGGGTTTCTGTAATGAATAAAGTTGCTAATTGCAATATTTTCGAACATTACGAAAAGTAATATTTCTATTGATATATGTGTGTCAAATACACCTAAATACACCTAAATAGATTTTAACCATATTATTTTTAATGAAAAAAATAAGATGCACGCGTTTTCACGCGCATGGTAAAAATCACCTTACTTAGAAATACAATCGGATGTCAAGAACGTTTGTCTTAAAAAAAAAAAAAAATATATATATATATATATATATATATATATATATATATATATATATATATATATATATATAGTCAAAAATAATTTAAAATAGTTACCCTGTCTTTGCAAAATTTGTCCAATACGTCATCACGACGTCGGCGGCCCTTTGATCTTCCTCCGTCCACGTGAAGGTCGGGTCCGACACGAAATAACCTTTGCCAAAGGTGAGTGGGACGTCATCGGCGTGAGAGGAACATGTCGCCCAAGGCGGTAAACTAAGTCCAAACATATAAAAATCCACGATGCTGTGTCCACTCAGCACGTGCGTTATGTGATAGGAGTATGTGGAGGCCTGTGAGTTTGTTCCCTTAGCTCGCAGATGGGCGAGGGAAGACTCTGGGATATGCTGATTGAACATTATGTCACTGAACATGTCGCGATATGCGAGTGTGTTTTCTATGCGGTCCGCCTTATGAGTGTAGAAATCGTGGATGTACTTCTTCACCATATCTGGATTTTCGGAATAAAATGTTTTCAGAATTGGAGGAATGAGTTTGGTGTTTAACACATCCTCTGGGATTCCTTCAGTGAAGTTGTAGCCATGAAGACCCTGCATTAGAGCTGCCATATAGAGCATCAAATTCCCCTCGTCCGACAACGAACCCACCATCCAGTCAACTTTCCCAAAAGCTTCGTCAATTTCTGGAACGTTTTTTGCGTTTGAAATTTGAAAAATAGTCCCGCGTTCCATGGGGAACAAAGTCTCCGTCTTCCATCGGTGCAAAACGGACTCCATAATCCATATTGCCTTCGGAGTCTCTTCCTTCAGTCATCGCCGAGATATACAGCAGCATATCAGCCGGCGCCAACCGTAAGCAGTCAATCATTTTTCGAGTGTCACTCAGATAAAGGTTCTCTGTTGTGTTGCAGCTTAGCTGAAGTGCTATACTTTTAGCGAGATTCAGAGTGTTTTGTCCGAATGAGAATCCATTGCTTAAGGTGGCGGGACTTTGACTTATCGCTCGTTTAACCAAGTCAAGGTTGTATTTGGTAATCACGTGGTGTTGTACACTCGACCCGCCAGCCGATTCGCCAAATATCGTGATACTTTCAGGATCGCCACCAAACGCTGAGATGTGCTCTTTTACCCATTTTAAAGCTTCGTGCTGATCCCAGAGTCCGAAATTCCCCGGTGCGCTCTCGTCAAGCGTTGACATAAACCCAAATATGTAAGTCTGTAGTTAACAGTGACACAAACTACGTTGCCGTGTAGTGCCAGTTCTTGGCACGGGGTCGCCATACCCTGCCCTGCGCCATAGCCTCCGCCGTGTATCCAAACCATCACTGCTCTTAGTTCTTTGCTTTCAGTTACAGGGGCATATATATTGAGAGGTAGACAGTCCTCCGACATGTCCGTATTGGGCAGAATGGTCCCCATGCTAGGGTGAACCAACTGCATGCACGAAGGACCGTACGTACTAAGTGGCGTCTATGGTGCGCGTCCAAGGCTTCTTGGGGACCGGTTTTTGGAAGCGTAAATGTCCTAGGGGAGGCTCTGCGTAAGGAACGCCCAGATAAACGTCGACCTTTTTTCCATTATAGTCTTCCGTTTTACCTCGAAGCTTTCCTAGCTTCGTCTCCGCTACCTTGACCCTAGTGTAGGCGGCAAACAGTAAAACAGCCAGCGCCCATAACAAGCAAGAGACAGGCCTAGGGGAATCCACCGGTGTCGTCATTTTGCACAGTACTCGGTTGCTAAATATACAGCGTGCATTGTACATTGTGATAAGGCTAATATATAGGTCAGAGTATAGCCTCTTATGTTGACACTGGTCGGTCTATATTTTCACAATGCACGTGCTTACGTAATGTACAACGCTTAATTTTTTGTTTGGTTGTCACATAGACACATTATATCTATATAAATTGAAACAAGAACGTGCACGTGCAGACTTAGCGGTACTTGCACTGCCTATCAATTAAGTTATTTTTTTTTTATTAATTATTAATGTTGGGATAAAGAAGCCACGTACAGGCTTACTGAAAGCAGGACTGGGCGGGATAAGGTGTGGATGTCAACATCTTGAGGAATAATGTCGCATGACATATAGGAGTTTGGTTGAATTGGGCTTGTTGATTTAACATTATTACAGGTTTAATTAATTAAGGACATTGTTACCCTTTATTATCGTCCAGATACCAAAAATGAGTTTTTTTCTTTCTTCTATAAATTACTCAATAATACATCTGTCTTTGTGCTGATTTAAAACAATCAATAAAAAAAACTCGAAAATATAAAATATCGGCTTTTTCGCTGCAAAATATAAGCATCTTTACCTCAAAATCGCAATTATGACGTCACCCTTCAAATGACACGTTTAAATGTAAATTAATTTAGTCACTGAACACTGAAGATTTATGTAGCATGTATGTAAGGCAGAAAAAAAGGACTTTTGGGCGAAGGGTGACAATATCCTTTAGCAGTTTGCCAATATTATAGTCTATGTGAGAAAATGCACAAAAGATCTGCACAAAACTACAGTTAGCTGATAATAATAAATGAGAACGTTATTAATGACGGACCGAGAGATGGACAGGGCGTGTTTGTGCCGTGACCCATAACTTTAAACGAATCCAATGCCCCCCTCTCCCCCCGGAAAAAATAGAAAAGAAGAAGAAAATAGAAGAGAGAGAGAGAGAGAGAGAGAGAGAGAGAGAGGATGAGATGAAAAGTATACAACGAGCGAAATTGTACCGTATTAATTGGGCCACCTAACTTTCATGTAACTTAATTGGTCCTGTAGATGCAATCAACCTATAATTAAAAAAAAAAACAATCTATTTGCCGTTAACTGTGTTATTTCTTTCATCTACCATTTATCATTAGTGCCTTGTAAATCTTTAATACCGTGTTTTCCCTCCCCCCTCCCCCTTCGAAAACTATTGCACTCGCCAGCAGTACTTACTTTTTCACTTTCGAAGAGATGGCGCCAATTGTCTGCTTTCTGACCAATCAGAATCGGCTAATCATTTTGCCCGTAGCTAATCGCGGGAGTTTGTGCTGCGAGAGAAACTTCCTGACCTCAGTTGTTTATTGAAAAAGATGTCACTTTTCTCGTGATTTTTGAACGAGGAAATTAACAAGCTATCTAGAACTTAAATTTAAAGAAAAATTATGGATGGGATTAAAGCTAAGGACAAGCACCTGAAAGGAAGAGAGGGCGATTCAGTTGTCGACTCGAAGAGGGCTTTAAACTCGGCATCTCCATCTTCAGAAGGGTCGAGCAGGTTTGTTTTGGTTCCTTACTTTATCTGTGAATTGTGTTTAATCTTGGTGTTACTAACACTGTGAAGAACTGAGGTCTTAAGAAGTATCAGGTGCTGCGATAAAAAGCAAGTTTCTTAATGAGCCTCTGACGCTATGTGAAGTTTGTCAGATAAGTATATATTTCCCAAGTCCCACGACAAGACAAGTTGCAGTGTGTAATATATTTAAGATTAATTATTTGAGCTGTTCACAAATGAATATTTCAGCTTTTCACATACCCATTTCTGCTATTCCTTAAGAAGAAAGTGCCCATCTTGAAACAGTTTATATTATTGAGTTGTTTTGAAGAATTCCTGATAATTCATTGAAGTTTTATTAGCTGTGCACACCCCCTTAATACCGTACAAGAACATGTTTTAGTACAAGTACCGTACAAGTACATGTACATGCTTTACATCTTTGGTGGGATCGCGGAGAATGCCATTAAAATCGGTGCTGTTGGGAGATCATACTGTGCACTTTTTTGCCATACTATTACTATACAGGGGTGACATGGTGGGTGAGTGGGGGAAAGTTTGTGTCTGTCTCAAGGCTTTTCCCAGCCAACTGTCCAGCCGTCATTTGGGTGGTCACTGGCATCACCACACAATCATTATTTTCAAAGACAGCTGGGCAGCTTATGAATTTTCTTGAAAGATCATGGCTGGGACTCCCTGAAATTTTGTAGGAAATTGCTGGTGATAATTTTGAACGGCCTGTACCCCCAATCCTGAGGAAAGTCCTGGTCTGTCTTCAAATTTCTTTTCTCTTTGTGTTGGTTGGTTATATATCCCTGTCTAAATTACTGATCACACTTCATTGTTTAAAATAATTGCAGCATGTATGGATTGTGCTTATTTTCAAAAAAAAAAAAAAAAAAAAGAAAAAAAGAAATCATCTTTAAGTGCTTTATCTCAATGTATACTTTTCCTTTTCATAGTGTGGTTCCTCTCACAGAAGTTGAAGGCCAGTTTACTAAGTTATGTACTGAACTCAATGTGCCAGACAACGTGAAGAAGAAAACTTGGAAAGAATGGATAGACATGCTGTCCAGTGACATGGACATAAAGGTGGAGACACTTTTAATATATACAGTTATAATTGTGATTAATTATGAATATATTTGTTATAGACTTCCCATGAAAATTAATGAAAGTCATATTTTCCATTTTAAAATGTTAAATAGACAATAAACTAATTTCATTTCATATTTCTATCCTCATTTCAGTCAGACTACATGCCCTGGTTAGCTTGTCTGCTTTATAGTGCAGCCACTGACTGTAGGGTTCCTTATGGCATGACAGACCCACAAGTCCAGGCTTTAGAGAGTCCAGTGTTTACTGTGACTAAGCTGCTACAAAAAACAGACCTTGGGTATGTCATGATTATATTTTGCTTTGACCTAAGCAAATCCTAGGGACGCACACATTTTGGAGAATTAACCCTTAAAATCTACTCATAGAATTTATATACCACTTTGCTTAAAATATGTATAATCAAACAAAAACTGATGCAGGTGATTAAAATCCTCTCATATTTTAGGTACATTTTCTTTTTTTACAGCCTGATCTTTTTAACACTAATTCAAGACAATATGTCTATGGCTAACTTGACCAAGAACATTGATAAATAATGAATCAGTGAATAGAAAAAGAAATGAATGAAAAGTGAAATAAAATAATACATAGATCAATAAATAAAAAAATTGTACCACACCCTGGAAATTGTAATTTTTTTTTCCTGTCTGTTTCAGTATTCGCCCATTCTTTGAGAGGCTACGTGCCCTGAAGGAACACGGAAAACTGAGTACCACAGTGAAACAGAACGTTCTGGGGCTGGAGAAGAAATACTGTATAGTGGCTGCTCTTTATGATAAACTGGAAAAGTAAGCAGTGGTAGCGTGGACAATAAACAAGTGGTATTATCATCCCTGTTTGTCTTTTTGTTTGCCACCAGCCTAACTCAAAAAATCATGGATGGATCCTGATAAACAAAATTTAGGATAGGTCACAAATGGGGTAGCTTAAAAATGATAAGATTTTGGGGATGATACATTAATTAATAAATTAATGGTTAATTACTGGTTTATTATGTGTCTTGGGGGAGGTCTATGCTCTCTGAGTGCTTTTGTAGTATTAATTTTTTATTAGTTCTAGTCTGTGGAAAATATTTTTTAACTTGCTCATCCTTCAATCCAAAAGGTTGAAGAATCTACCAACCCAAACTAAGTTTAAGTTTGAACAGTGACCAGTAACTGCCCAAACTATAGGATGTTAAATAAAAAAAGTAAAGTTACAGTTATAAATACCTACAGTGAATTAAAATTTGTGTGTTCAAATAGACTTATTTTATTTCCAGAATTTTAGCTCAAATCTTCAGGGAGGAGACAGAGAATGGCAGTTACAGGTAACACAGCTGGTTCTTGTTATGTTTTTCACTAAAAAGGGCACAATGTTGTTTTTTATACTGGTTATGAATTAATAGATTCGTCTTGGCTCGGCCATTTGTTCTCGGTGTCGTTTGAGTTGTCAAGAATTTTGTAATCTTTATTCTAGTTGTCTTCCAAATGCTGTGCCAGACTCAGAACTAAGTGACCTCCAACAGAAGAAATCACTGATATGGACAGCTTTTGTATTGACCAAAGGTTAGTCGGATGTTATCCATCTGCTCTCTTGCCCCATCTTTGAACCATTTGCTATTAAAAAAGATATCACAATTAAGTAGCCACTGGAAACCTAAGCTGGACCTTAACTGTTGCCAAATTAATACTGTGAATTTTGGAAAATTGCAAGTAATTGTAATGGCATCTTGTTTATTTGAAAGATTTATATAATAAGTCTAACATTTTTTTTCTCTGTATTCATTTACCTAAGAAGTTAGTTGATTTGTTCAGATAATAAACATATTTCAGACATTATTTGATTTGTTTACCCGTTAGTTTTAACAGTTGCCTTAAGTCGATTTATTTATTCACTTGATCACTATAAGAGATGCCCTAGACATAAGTGACAATGAGCTAATTCATAAATTGATTAATTAATTGTTTAATTAATTTTCTTGTTAATTCTACCAGGTGCCCTGGACATGGGTGACAGTGAGCTGATCTTCAGTTTCTACCTCCTACTATGCAGTATTGACCATGTCCTAAGACTGACCCCCTCCTTCATGCTCAATCCTCCATTTGGTTAGTGGTCATTAAGGGAGCGTTCAGATTCAGAAATCATACGAGCTTGATTGATCCAACTCCTGATTAAGCAGAGCACACGCAAAAGTTAATTGCTCCCTTGCTGCCCAAGGGTGTGTGTCAGACGATTAAGCTGATTACATTGACTGCACTTTAGTGAGATCTGAATCTTAATGCTCACTAAGTTTAAATATATCAAGAGGGATTGGCACAATCTACTTGTTCATCCAGCCCTTGTAGCTGTAATGCTCAATTTCACATAATCTTATTACTTTTGCAGTTTTATAGAAAACAAAATAAAAACTTTTCCTTTTTCCCAGATCCTGTTTATGTTCTCTATAGTTAACTTTACAAAGTTTATTTAAAAAGAGGAAGTACTACAGATAGCAATGACACTTACGTCCAAGTTCACTGTAGGAAAATGTTTGCTGACCAATATATAAATAATTTTAGTTCAGTGTGAATTTATTTATTTATTTTTTTTGTTTCTTTGGTGTCATTCCTAGATCCATCACATTATCGTATTGTATTATGCCAGTGTTTTCCATTTATGTTACCTTTTAGTAAATATTGCTTTTGTTCAAGAATTCATAACTAAATATATTTGTTTACACCAGACACTGTACGAAGGGAGTGTTGTGAAAATGTGGATCCATACTGCATGCTGAAGGAGCTCTGTGAACAGTTTGTGGTTCGTTATGAAGAGGTGAGTGGTAGAACGGCTGTTCTGCATAAAAACATGCATAACTACTCATCTGCCCTTGTGCACACATATACGTACAAGTGCAACAATGCATGTAAATACCTTGAACATAAACTAGTCTTTTGTCTCTTTCACTAGTACCTCACAATTTTCTGTATTGCACAAGTTTGTTAGAATGAGAACTGGCTATTGTTTAAAAGAATCACCTTATCAGGCACGAATGAGAATGAATGAGAACTGGCTATTGCTTAAAAGAATCACCTTATCAGGCACGAATGAGAATGAATGAGAACTGGCTATTGCTTAAAAGAATCACCTTATCAGGCACGAATGAGAATGAATGAGAACTGGCTATTGCTTAAAAGAATCACCTTAACAGGGCCTCTGCATTTGATACCTTTAATCTGTTAATCATATTTTTTTTGTTTATTTCATTGGGGCTTGTGAAAGGAAATAAAAACCTGGGAGTGTAATTACAGATTAGTACCAGTTTTATTGGTATGATAAATAAATTTGTAATGCTTGATGTGAAAAACAAAAATATTCAGGTTTGATACACATTGTATGAAAGAATGTCGCAGTAACAGTTTTAATACTCTATATTTGAAAGTGTATTAAAAGGTTTAATTTTACCAAGTGCAATGTGTCAGATTACTAGTTTAAGTAAAATAAACTGATTTGAATTAGATGTATTCTCATCTCTTATTCTCTGATAATGTCTCTTAAAGATTTTGTCCAAAAAAGATTGTTGTTTTTACTGCTACATTTCTTACCAGGTTCATTTTATTTCAGGTGAAAGCAGTGTGTGTTAATTTCTGGGAACCTTTCCTTTCTTCACTGCCTCATACTCAGGGAGAACTGGATGTGAGTTTACTTTAATTTTTATAACAAATAGAGTGTTAAACTGACAATATTATTGGTACATATTTTCAGGCTGTATTTTTTTTCTATCAAGTCTAACTCACTTCTCTGCTGTTTTAAGACATTCTCAACAACTAAATAATATTTCATATTTCAAAAAAATTGGAGATATCGTGTAAAATTTTCAAAAATGATTCACAATGCATTATCTGAATTTTTTTGTTGCACTCTTGATTATAGAATTTTAGTAATTGACATTTAATTGGTCATTTTTGTAATTAATCAGCTGTGAGATGCATTGAGATTTGTAAGTGGTATGTTCCCCATAAGAATTTATTATTATTATTATTTTTATTATTATTATTATTATTATTATTAACCCTAGCTGACCAGAATTCAGACAGCCTACCTCCAGAACCACCAAAAACTTGGAGACATTAATGAATTGCTCTTCCTCACCAAGAGTCCAGTCCTACTGCCCACTGTCCCTAATGGTCAGTCCTCGGACACACCCAAACCTGATACTGTGCCTATGACTCCAGTGAGGTAGGGAGATACTGTATTTATTAAAATAAAAATGAAAGAGTGGGTTTTTATACACTCGTATGTTTTTGAATCTGAAAATTAAAAAAAAAATTGAACAGCAATGTGTGATAGAATTTTGAAACTTGAATTTTTTCCCAATTGTGTCATATTTTCAAGATGATTTCGCTTTTTTGGGAGGCTGGATTAAATCTTATTCAGAAGTTTTCTTTTCAATTAAAGTCTCTGTAATGATGTTTTATCCTTTGGATTGCTAGCCCCAGCTGAAATCTAGGCCTTAACAAAGCCAGTCATATTTTTCATTGCTTATAATTTCAGAGCTGCTTTGTCATCTGTGCAGCAGCTTAATGAAGTCCTGGAAGGTTGTAAAGATACCCCATCATCTGAGCTGGTGAATTTCTTCAAGGTGAGTATTGGTCAAAATTATTGATAAGGTCTTCCTAATTGTACCANATTAGCTTTCACAGTTGCCTTAAACCAATTTATTTATTCACTTGTTCACTATAAGAGATGCCCTAGACATAAGTGACAATGAGCTAATTCATAAATTGATTAATTAATTGTTTAATTAATTTTCTTGTTAATTCTACCAGGTGCCCTGGACATGGGTGACAGTGAGCTGATCTTCAGTTTCTACCTCCTACTGTGCAGTATTGACCATGTCCTAAGACTGACCCCCTCCTTCATGCTCAATCCTCCATTTGGTGAGTGGTCATTAAGGGAGCGTTCAGATTCAGAAACCGTAGAAGCTGGATCGATCCAACTCCAGATTAAGCAGAGTGCACATACAAGTTTATTACCCCCTTGCTGCTTGAGGGTGTGTGTCGGACGATTACATTGACTGCACTTTAGCGAGATCTGAAGATGAATTTTCCCTAAGCTTAAATAAATCAAGAGGCATTATCATGATCTACTTGTTCAACCATCCTTTGTGGCTGTAATGCTCAGTTTCACATAATCTTATTACTTTTGCAGTTTTATAGGAAACAAAATAAAAACTTTTCCTTTTTCCCAGATCCTGTTTCTGTTCTCTATATTTTACAAAGTTTAAAAAGAGGAAGTACTACAGATAGTAATGACACTTACGTCCAAGTTCACTGTAGGAAAAATTTTTGCTGACCAATATGTAAATAATTTTAGTTCATTGTGAATCTATTTTTTTTTTGTTTCTTTGGTGTCATTCCTAGATCCATCACATTATCGTATTGTATTATGCCAATGTTTTCCATTTATGTTACCTTTTAGTAAATATTGCTTTTGTTCAAGAATTCATAACTAAATTTATTTGTTTACTCCAGACACTGTACGAAGGGAGTGTTGTGAAAATGTGGATCCATACTGCATGCTGAAGGAGCTCTGTGAACAGTTTGTGGTTCGTTATGAAGAGGTGAGTGGTAGAACGGCTGTTCTGCATAAAACATGAATAACTACCCATCTGCCCTTGTGCACACATATACGTACAAGTGCAACAGCGCATGTAAATACCTCGGACAAAAACTAGTCTTTTGTCTCTTTCACTAGTGCCTTACAATTTTCTGTATTGCACAAGTTTGTGAGAATGAGAACTGGCTATTGCTTAAAAGAATCCCCTTAACAGGGCCTCTGCATTTGATACCTTTAATCTGTTAATCATATTTTTTGTTTATTTCATTGGGGCTTGTGAAAGGAAATAAAAACCTGGGAGTGTAATTACAGATTAGTACCAGTTTTATTGGTATGATAAATAAATTTGTAATGCTTGATGTGAAAAACAAATATTCAGGTTTGATACACATTGTATGAAAGAATGTCGCAGTAACAGTTTTAATACTCTATATTTGAAAGTGTATTAAAAGGTTTAATTTTACCAAGTGCAATGTGTCAGATGACTAGTTAAAATAAAATAAACCAATCTGAATTAGATGTATTCTCATCTCTTATTCTCTGATAATGTCTCTTGAAGATTTTGTCCATCAAATAGAAGATTGTTGTTTTTACTGCTACATTTCTTACCAGGTTCATTTTATTTCAGGTGAAAGCAGTGTGTGTTAATTTCTGGGAACCTTTCCTGTCTTCACTGCCTCATACTCAGGGAGAACTGGATGTGAGTTTACTTTAATTTTTATAACAAATAGAGTGTTAAACTGACAATATTATTGGTACATATTTTCAGGCTGTATTTTTTTCTATCAAATCTTTAACTCACTTCTCTGCTGTTTTGAGACATTCTCAACAACTAAATAATATTTCATATTTAAAAAAAAAATGGAGATATTGTGTACAATTTTTTTTAAAATGATTCACAATGCATTATCTAAAATTTTTAGTTGCACTCATGATTTTAGAATTTTAGTAATTGACATTTAATTTGTCATTTTTGGAATTAATCAGTTGCAAGGGACATTGAGATTTATAAGTAGCATGTTCCTCATAAGGATTTATTATTATTATTACTATTATTATTATTATTATTATTATTCACAGCTGACCAGAATTCAGACAGCCTACCTCCAGAACCACCAAAAACTTGGAGACATTAATGAATTGCTCTTCCTCACCAAGAGTCCAGTCCTACTGCCCAGTGTCTCTAATGGTCAGTCCATGGACACACCCAAACCTGATACTGTGCCTATGACTCCAGTGAGGTAGGGAGATACTGTATTTATTAAAATAAAAATGAAAGAGTGGGTTTTTATACACTGGTATGTTTTTGAATCTTAAAATTAAAAAAAAAAATTGAACAGCAATGTGTGATAGAATTTTGAAACTTGAATTTTTTTCCCAATTGTGTCATATTTTCAAGATGATTTCGCTTTTTTGGGAGGCTGGATTAAATCTTATTTAGTAGTTTTCTTTTCAATTAAAGTCTCTGTAATGATGTTTTATCCTTTGGATTGCTAGCCCCAGCTGAAATCTAGGCCTTAACAAAGCCAGTCATAATTTTCATTGCTTATAATTTCAGAGCTGCTTTGTCATCTGTGCAGCAGCTTAATGAAGTCCTGGAAGGTTGTAAAGATACCCCATCATCTGAGCTGGTCAATTTCTTCAAGGTGAGTATTGGTCAAAATTAGTGATAAGGTCTTCCTAATTTATCTTGAAGTCTTATATTTGGGAACACCACCTTCCACAGTTTTCTTGAGGATCTTAAAACCACTGGAAAGCAATATCAGAGACAAAAATAAGTATCTAGTGTTTGCTGAGCATTACTTTACCCACAGGATTTGTCCAGGGGATAACAATTTCATTTATTAATGGATAGTGTTATCCAGTGGATAGCGCTATCCCCTGTTGATGAAACTTGGGCCAGAGGACAATAACTTTTTCCAAAGGATAGCGCTATTCAGTGTTGATGAAACTGGGCTATAATATTTTGTGTCATTGATCTTTTGACAGAGTTGTACCAGTAATCCCCAGCCAGACATAGAGGACAGAGTGCGCCATCTAGAGGAGAGATTTGTAGACGGCTTCTGTCAGGTGATGGGAAAGAACAAGAAGTCTATATCCCAGCAGAGATATCAACTGGCTGTAAGGCTGTACTATAGAGTGCTGGAGAAAATGCTCAAAGCTGTGAGTATATAATGCAAAGAGTTGATTAAAACATGAATTGAATAAAAATTTTCTATATCAACTAGTAAGACATCATGGTGAAAAGTCTCATTAAAAGATTTCTGTCATCTTTTGACGTTTTGTTGGAAAGCTAAAACCTACCTACCTACCTTTTGATTCTTTCACAAATTTGATCTTTATTCTGGAAAGAAATTAAACTTCTATCTCTTGTCTTTAGCAGACTTGTTCCTGACATTATAACACTTTCCATTGTGCATTTAACCATCTGACTTCGAGTTTTCAAGGTTGTATTTTATTTTTAATTACAGGAAAAGGACCGGCTTTCCCGCGCTGACTTCAGCACACTGCTCAACAATGATACATTCCACAAGTCTCTGCTGGCATGTGCCGTGGAGGTAGTCATGGCAGCCTATGCTTCCACAGGTTAATATCTCCTTTTACTACTACTGTAAAACAGTGTTACATTTAGTACAAATAATGCTGTTATTTAAGCATATGGCAATATGAATTCAACAGAAACAGCATTGTCATTAGATGAAGATTATTGCTTGGCTATAGAATCCAGCTGAATACTACAAAACCTTTCAAATCTGATATTGAATTTTTAGGCCAAGCACATTTCGAAGTGTCTGATGCTTATGCCTATATGCTTTGAATGACAATCATTTATGGTGATACACATGGTATGAAGAACTCAATCATCATACAGACAACAGACAGAAATTTTAAAGTCTTTGTCCTAAAATGATGTCAACAACCCTGTACCTGAGAGTTCTCAAGACTATTCGTTATAACCATAAGCTCCCTTAAAATTTTGAGTTTTGAGCGTTTACTTTTGAAGTTTTGATACATTTCCACTAAAAAAGTTGAACGTTCTTACATTTTTCAGTCCCAGGCAACGCGACTCCGTCCAGCACAGACACAGCATTCCCATGGGTCCTGGCAGTATTTGGTCTACAAGCTTACAACTTTCACAAGGTGCTGGAGAGTTTTATCAGAGCAGAACCTGGTCTGCCTGGGGAGACCATAAAGGTGAGTAATAATAATAATAATAATAATAATAATAATAATAATAATAATAATAATTAAGTCTTAATCCCAATAGTGAATCCACTTAAACTATTAAGATTCATATGCTAGAATAAATAATGATAATAAAGCTACATTTTTTTGTCTAATTAAATACAAAGACAATGAGGTTGGCTATTAAAGATTATAACTATCAGTTTATACCTTTTCCAATGCATTGGTCTCATTGTGCAAGGATATGGTTGGAAAACATTTAGTAAGTGTGTTAATTGAATAACGAGTACATATTTTGTTTGGATGAAGTTCAGAGATGAATTTTGAAGTGTAATGTGTTACCTGTTTTGGATGTTTTGATTAACTAGTCAGAATTTATTTAACTGCTTACAGGTTATGTTTTCTGAATTGGTATTTTGTTTTGATTTTGCAGCATATACAAAGTATTGAGAATCAGATTTTGGAAAAAATAGCCTGGAAGTCTGTAAGTATTCTTATTTTGCTTCAATACGTATTGCTTTCCATGCTTCATTTTTATAAACGCCACCTCCCACATTTGATATATATATTTTTTGCTCTTGGGTAATAATTTTAATCCCAGAAAAGCTCTCCAGTTTCTTGAGGACTGTGAACAATATCTGTACAATATATAATCCTATTTATAGTACTTTAAAAACTTAGAAAGATCTCAAATGGAACATTTAACCAGTAATGGATAATAAAAACTTAACCAAATAGATTTTGTTTAAGAGCAAGTGTTTGATTTCAGACTGCGAGTGAGTAACCTTTGGTGAATTTATTATTTTCTCACTAGGATTCACCACTGTTTGACTTGCTTAAAACCACCGAGATTCCAGCGCCATCTATTCCTGTGTCCCCAGGAGTGAAGGAGCAACCCAAAAACGGAGGCACACCTGTGACAGCAGCACAGCTGTAAGACATTGTTCTAATTCTTTAACATAAAGTAGTAGAATAGTTCTTGTTTGATATGCATTTTAGTAAGATTTGGTCATGCTTGTATGAAGCTTTATAATATAAAGAAAAATAACATTTATAATGCAACAGAACTGAATTAAATTTTATTAAATTTAATGGTGTAGTGTATTTCAAACTTCTGGTGATGAAGCTGTTCATGAATCCTGTTGATGAATAAATGATGAATTTATAACCGATCAGTTTTAATTAGGCTTTTTATTTCATTTTACTCTATCAGGTACCTGTCTCCGACAAATGGGTTACAGGCAACATCCAAGATGGCTGACCCAGCTCAGGTCATTGCCAGCAGTTCTGTCAGGCAGACTCCACCAAAAAGATCTCATTCTCTTAATCTCTTTTTTAATAAAGGTGAGGTTTAAGTGATGGTTTTAATTAATACATTGAATAGAATTTTTGACAAATATTATCCTTGTAAGCTTGGAAAAGTTTTATTTTTCAATATCTTGGTAGACTTTTTCCAACAAAAGATATAAAAAAGACTTGTTAACTGGTGTAAATTATTCTGTATCTGCCTATATGGGAAGTCAGGATTTGGTACGTAACTAATAAGCTTTATATGTGTGAATTATGGTTAAATTCTATTTTTCCTTCACAATACTGTACACCCTGTGTTATATTTCAGTATCACGGCTGGCCTATCATCGCCTGCAAGACCTGTGTACATTGCTTGCCATACCTAAAGATATGGTAAGGGGAAATGTAATGAAAACCCTATATTTTTAAAACAATATGTTTATAACATTTCATGAACTTTTTTTTTCACATTTGTGAAAAAGTGTAATAACAGAATCAAAGAAATGGTATACATCAACTGTAATGAAAATGTCATGAACATCAAGTTCACATGTAAAGGAATTTGAAGCTAGGTGTGTGTGATGAACTAATGTCATGAAGGTATGTTATGAATATGAGTTAACAGAGTCATTTAAACAAATTTTGTTATGATATCAAATCGTGTATTAAAAGGGGCACATTTTTTAGAAATGGTAATTTTTTTGTAATTTTGATTTGTTTTAACTGGGATTGATTTGTGTTTTCTAACCTCCAGCAACTAAAGATCTGGACCTGTTTGGAACACTGTATCACAAGGAAGCCAGATCTTCTCAGAGACAGACACTTGGATCAGGTAAATGCTGTCATCTATCCTGTTTTGGTAATAGTTATTTTGTGTTAATTGACATCCTTTCTTAGTTGCCTTATATCAGAGTAGTTTTGCCATGATGACATCTAATTTCAAGACAGATTGTTGAATAAGCTTTGAGTAAAGCAGTAATATGAAATATTGGAAAGAAAGGAAGAAATGGTTTATAGTAGCTCGGTATGTTTTGATATATTTGCTGGTTTAGATTTTTCTCATAAGCTCTTCATCAATAGGCAATATGACACGGTTCTTTGTATTTGAAGTCTTTTAAAAAATTAATACTAAAGTTTGTGTGAAATCTTTCAGGTGATGCTGTGCTCTGTCTATGCAATCCACAAAGTGATCTCAACTGACACGGAGCTCAAGTTTAAAACCATTGTACATATGTACAAGTCAATGCCCCATGCCACACAAGAGGTAGGCAGAGTGTGTTAGTTGAGGCAAAGGACTAGATGAATGTGTTGGTTGTGACAGATGGCTGTGTGAATGTTTTTATTTGTTACAATTTTTCTGTTGAATGAAAGTTGATGTTTTAAGTACCTTAGTTGAAACATTTGATATCCTTTGTTTTTGTGGTGGTTGATTTTTTTTTATACTTGATTTTGTGTTACAAGTGTTTTTGTCACAGTTGATATTGCATTTATATAAAACTGTCAGTAATTTTAGCCTTGTCTTCAGGTATTCAAGAACGCTCTCATCTCAGGAAATGAGTATGATTCTATCATTGGGTTCTACAACCGTGTGTTCATGCAGGCCACCAAGAATGTGATCCTTCAGTTTAGTCCCTCCAGGTCCAGCAATGTAAGTGTATGTGATCCTTCAGTTTAGTCCCTCCAGGTCCAGCAATGTAAGTGTATGTGATCATTCGGATCGGACACTTTTGAAAAACATTGTTTGAAATTATAAGTAGACAATCAAAAATATATTGTGATTACTAACTTTTTATACATTTCACAACAAAGTAAAAGGCAGAGTGAAGAATAGGTAACAGGCCTGGTATTGCACTTTTTTTTGTAATTAAATTGCTTTGGTTAATAGAAAGGTCAGTACTTGGGTCATGATATTTAGTAAAACGCTCTAAATAAAATGCTCAGATATTTCAAAGAATGGTGAATTTGGGATAGCATATTTCAGCTCTTAACTTGGAAATAATTATATTTCAGCCTGGTTCATTGACTTTATCCCCTGTGCCAAAGAATATTCAGTCTCCTCTCACTGCTTCCCCTGTCTACAGGTAAGTAGCTTGGAGAAGTCGTGATTCTGGGTGTGTTGACAGCAACAGGAGATTGTGTTTGGTGTGACAAAAGATGCTGTCAGTTGTGACAGCTGATTGTGTTGGGTGTGACAAATTATTCTAGCTGTAACATGATTCCGTTGGGTGTGCCAGCTGATTGTGCTAGCTGTGACAGCTGATTGTGTTGGGAATTTCATGATTTTGATTGTATGTCATTTCATAAAAATTATATATAGTCTATATATTGTTATATTATATATCTGTTCTAGTGTCCCAGGCAGGAAAAACTTCTATGTGTCCCCCTTAAAGAGCCCCACTTTTAAGGCCCCCATCTCCCCCAGTCAGATGACCCCCAGGACTCGGCAGCTGTACAGCTTTGGAGAGGGATTTGGGGTATGCTTAACTAGGCATTACTTAACTAGTAGAGTTTAATTTCCAGTCGGGTTGTGAAAACTTGGCTTAGTACTATGTAATATCTCAGTAAACAGTGTTGTTATTAATTTCATAAACAAAATATGGTATTGTGGGTCTCTGATTTCTTTACTACTGCTGTAGTTGAAAGGGCATATAAAAGCTTCTCAGTCTTTTGTTGTTTTAAGGGGCATTTCTAGTAACTGTGGTGGCTTGACTGGAAATATCCATTAAAAGAACAAAACTCTAATGATAATCTCAGTAGACGGTGACATAATAATCTCAAACATAGTAAACCCAGTTGATATAATTATAAGTCTGCAAATTCTATAGTAATGAATATTTTTTACAATTTTTTAGCCCAACAATCTTAGAATCATTATGCTGACAATGTCATGCTTTGTTTTATTAATCACATCACCTTTTTCACGCCCAGTCCTCTGAGAAATTGAAGTCCATCAATGATACCCTAAGGGCCATGAAGCGCACCTCCCCCACAGCTGTCACCCCCAAGAGCCAGAAGAGACTACGCTTTGACCAGCCTGACCAGGATCGGAGGTACAGAGGATGTTTGAGGATGTTTGAGGGGAAAAGCATGAGTGCTTAAAGGATTAAATTTATATATATTTAAGTGAGAGATGATCATCATTTAATTTGAAACTGGGGCCACTTTAACACAGAATTTGATTCAGCTAAATTACTTACAAAAATTCAATTTCTTGCAGAAAAATAGGAAAAAGAGTTTAACCAAAAGGTTGTGTTTAAGCATTATGTTTGATAATGATTATTAATAATAATAATAATAGAATGAATAAATAACTAAATAATTTTAAAGATGTATATGAGACAAAAGATTTGGCACTTTAAATACAATTAGTATTTTTGAACTCTTAACTGTAGTATCTATCATCCTTTTTATGTACAGACACAGATGTGTCTGTACATATAGACATCATCTGCGTCTGTCGTCGCCGTCGCCGTCGTCGCTGTCGTCGCCGTCGCCGTCGCCGTGCACTTTTACCGATAACACGATAAGTGGAAAACCATTTTGCCTTTTGATATGAAACTTGCAGAACTGATGAATATTCATAATACGCAGGTCAAGTTCGAAAATCAGCATGATCGGGTCACTCTTAGGGAATTTATGCTGTTTTTTCACTTTTTTCAACATATATGCAGCACCGATAACACGATAAGTGGAAAACCATTNTTCTTTTTTATGAGGCAATAATTGGTGGGATGTTGTATACCTACTGATTACACAAGCCTGGCCCGATCGTATCGGTTTTCTTTCAGCTGTGCAGACCTGAGCTTTCTCCGCGTTATCAAGGAAGAACGGGATTTGAATTTAATTCTCATTGGCCTTGGGATATATCAATAGCTGCAATAATACTGGATGAGTGAGATTGGTGCTGGACTGTCTTGATTGTCCCTTGTGGAAAATTACTAGCTGCGAAATATGGGTGATAAAATCACTTGGCTCATTAATTATTAAGTAGACATGGAACTTTATAACAGGGCTATAAATTACTTGGCCATAGCGTTTAAGTTTACACAGGCTTTCTCACGAATCCTAAATTGCTGCATAAGGTGATATTGCATCAAAACTGACGCAACAAAAACAAAAATACCGTTTTACTTGTAAATCTCTAAATTGTAAAGGTGCTTTGCAGAACTTAAAGTCTCAGCTTAGAAAAACAGCCTGATTGAATTAATATTATTTTGAAATTTTGAAGTTTTTTTGTGCGTTTTACATTTTGCCTTTCAGAAAAAAAAATAAAAAAATAATAAAATAAATAAATAAAATAAAACGTACTATATGTATAACTTTGAACTCTTATGGGCTTGAAGCCCATACTTACACTGAATGTGCTTGTTAACTTTGGTATAATGTGGAAGTGAGTATGTCGTTAAACATTTTTAAATTGACAAAATAACATTTTAGCGTACTATTTTTTCCTGTTTTATGTCTGCACATTTGACAGCTTTGCTGCCTTGTTTTAATATATATTATTTGTATAGCCCAAGATCATATCTGGCTGCAGCATACGTTACTTAAACCCTCATCTGTAACACAAATTACGCCTTATCTCGAGGACACTTTCAATACTAACATGGCACATGTACAGACATGAATAAAAAAGTATTCCGATTTCCTGATACAATCACTTTTTTCTCAAAAACCAAAATGTTGTGACAATTCACTCGTAGTCAAGACTGCCAAAGACGACCAAATCGACGAAAATAAAATCCCTCTCACCCCGACCGCTTCAATTTAATCCACATAACTGTAGTGGTGCCGTTTACTATCACATGTTTGACACACTTAACATCACCGCGTCTCCAGATAAGCCGGTCAGTTGACATCCCTCGCCTACATTGAAAAGGCGTGATCTAGTTTGTCTTGTTGTATTGATTCGCTCTCACTGATTCAGCTATGGCGGGCGAACCACGTAAGTAGAGCTTTCTCATGACAGCTTAAACAAGACCTTTGTAGCGATGGTTACGTTGCTGTTCTGCATAACCCTTCCATGCGAAGAGCAGGGAGCGTGTGTGTAGGAGAGCGGGTGGCGGCGTACGAGCCCACGCGGGTGCACGTGCTTGTGATCGTTTATGTGGTTTTGGAAAACCGATATAAAAATGCTAAATGTACATGTAATATTCTTGGTACTTTTTATTTATTCATTTATTTTCAATTTGTTTGTGCGTATGATGCCTCTAGACTCAAATAATGAGCGGCTGCGCTGTTCTATTCTGAGAATGGACTTTTTTGTGATGTTTCGCTTCTGGTGCTAAGTCGGGTATTTCGACTGAAGTAATTTCTCCTCTGCTTTAAACTTGCTTCTGTCTTTTAGGGTCAGTAATGAAGACTGAGGCCATGCATTCGCGTGCCGATTTTTTTGTGCTTAAGGAGGTGAAATCAGTACTAAAAGTGATAGTTAAAGATCTTGAATCTTTTGGCAAAGTTTAAAGGCCTTGTGGATCAGAATGATAAGAAATTATGTCTGGTTTTATGTAAAGAAACTGGGAAAGAAGGCGACCCATAACGAGTGCCGTTCAAACATATTCCTATACCCTCAGTTCTAATCAGGTACAGCTCAAAGTCAGGTGGAAAGGGATTACTTCACGCCCGCTCGTCCAATATTGATATTTTGATAACTTGCCTTTCTGTGTAAACTAGAAACGCTGAATCAAGAGGTCCGGATTCATGGAGAGATTTCGACTAGGGAAGAGCATTATTACGTCACAGAGCTGCCACGCTCAGATAAGATACAAATCATCTTACGGTATACAATACACTGTTCCGTATAGGATTTGCTTCTCCTGGTTCAAGTTGTGTTTGCAAGCAGAGCAAATGACCTAGCGGTGAGATAATTTAAGAAGTTTGTCTATTTGATCAGGGTGTTTAGATATATCTTGATATGGAATATCAACGTGCAATAAAGGTAGGTTGCGCGTTAATATATTATGATAGGAGAGCGGGGAGTGGGTGGTAATGATACTTGAAAAACGACAAATCAAGTTTTCGGATCCCCCTTTTTTGTTTACAAGTGTAGAGATCGTCTTCAAGATCAAATTTAAGATGCATCAAATATAACCTGGCAACTCAAATAACACGATAAAGAAATATCATTCCGTGTAGTTCACAAAGAAAGGATAAAGATATCACTGAAAACAATCACTCAACCTATCTTTATATATAGAGAGAATCGTGCCAGAGATATACCTGTGAATATCTAGTGAAAAATCCATCTATGGCCCTGGTAGAGGGTACAGTAGAGTGGGTCGAGCGAGTGCAGTGTGGAAACGATAAAAAGCCAATAGAAATGAATGATAACAAAATGTGGGAAAGACATCTTAAACCAACGGTTGGTAAAGTGATTAACAACTATTGGTAAGTTTAAGGTCACTAACGCATTTTAATGTAAAATTTAAAATATATTCAATTTAAAATATTAAAGAAAATGTGTTTTTATGGTGTGTGGGATGTCAATTCGGTCACCATTTATTTGTGTATGATCAGTTTTTTCATATCTATTTCTACGCTACATTTGAAGACGTCATAGCACTATCATTTAGTGAAAGCAAGTCGATAGATGGCGACACAGGATTCCGACTGGAAAGGGTGCACCTTGCAGATGTGGACAGGCGTAGGGCAGTGTATCGTGATGAGGGCAACCGGGTAGTCGTATACAGTGATCAACTCGTTGCTCTGGGTATGGGCTTTTTTTTCTTCTATTTCTTCTTCTTCTTCTTCTTCTTCTTCTTCTTCTTCTTCTCTCTNACCCCGACCGCTTCCATTTAATCCACATAACTGTAGTGGTGCCGTTTGCTATCACATGTTTGACACACTTAACATCACCGCGTCTCCAGATAAGCCGGTCAGTTGACATCCCTCGCCTACATTGAAAAGGCGTGATCTAGTTTGTCTTGTTGTATTGATTCGCTCTCACTGATTCAGCTATGGCGGGCGAACCACGTAAGTAGACCTTTCTCAGGACATAGCGGAAACAAAACCTTTGTAGCGATGGTTACGTTGCTGTTCTGCATCCATTTCGCTCTTAAAGCCATCTCGATGAATTGCGGTAACCCTTCCATGCGAAGAGCAGGGAGCGTGTGTGTAGGAGAGCGGGTGGCGGCGTACGAGCCCACGCGGGTGCACGTGCTTGTGATCGTTTATGTGGTTTTGGAAAACCGATATAAAAAGGCTAAATTTACATGTAATATTCTTGGTACTTTTTATTTATTCATTTATTTTCAATTTGTTTGTGCGTATGATGCCTCTAGACTGAAATAATGAGCGGCTGCGCTGTTCTATTCTGAGAATGGACTTTTTTTGTGATGTTTGGCTTCTGGTGCGAAGTCGGGTATTTCGACTGAAGTAATTTCTCCTCTGCTTTAAACTTGCTTCTGTCTTTTAGGGTCAGTAATGGAGACTGAGGCCATGCATTCGCGTGCCGATTTTTTGTGCTTAAGGAGGTGAAATCAGTACTAAAAGTGATAGTTAAAGATCTTGAATCTTTTGGCAAAGTTTAAAGACCTTGTGGATCAGAATGATAAGAAATTATGTCTGGTTTTATGTAAAGAAACTGGGAAAGAAGGCGACCCATAACGAGTGCCGTTCAAACATATTCCTATACCCTCAGTTCTAATCAGGTACAGCTCAAAGTCAGGTGGAAAGGGATTACTTCACGCCCGCTCGTCCAATATTGATATTTTGATAACTTGCCTTTCTGTGTAAACTAGAAACGCTGAATCAAGAGGTCCGGATTCATGGAGAGATTTCGACTAGGGAAGAGCATTATTACGTCACAGAGCTGCCACGCTCAGATAAGATACAAATCATCTTACGGTATGCAATACACTGTTCCGTATAGGATTTGCTTCTCCTGGTTCAAGTTGTGTTTGCAAGCAGAGCAAATGACCTAGCGGTGAGATAATTTAAGAAGTTTGTCTATTTGATCAGGGTGTTTAGATATATCTTGATATGGAATATCAACGTGCAATAAAGGTAGGTTGCGCGTTAATATATTATGATAGGAGAGCGGGGAGTGGGTGGTAATGATACTTGAAAAGCGACAAATCAAGTTTTCGGATCCCCCTTTTTTGTTTACAAGTGTAGAGATCGTCTTCAAGATCAAATTTAAGATGCATCAAATATAACCTGGCAACTCAAATAACACGATAAAGAAATATCATTCCGTGTAGCTCACAAAGAAAGGATTAAGATATCACTGAAAACAATCACTCAACCTATCTTTATATATAGGCCTAGAGAGAATCGTGCCAGAGATATACCTGTACCTGTGAATATCTAGTGAAAAATCCATCTATGGCCCTGGTAGAGGGTACAGTAGAGTGGGTCGAACGAATGCAGTGCGGAAACGATAAAAAGCCAATAGAAATGAATGATAACAAAATGTGGGAAAGACATCTTAAACCAACGGTTGGTAAAGTGATTAACAACTATTGGTAAGTTTAAGGTCACTAACGCATTTTAATGTAAAATTTAAAATATAATTTAAAATATTAAAGAAAATGTGTTTTTATGATGTGTGGGATGTCAATTCGGTCACCATTTATTTGTGTATGATCAGTTTTTTCATATCTATTTCTACGCTACATTTGAAGACGTCATGGCACTATCATTTAGTGAAAGCAAGTCGATAGATGGCGACACAGGATTCCGACTGGAAAGGGTGCACCTTGCAGATGTGGACAGGCGTAGGGCAGTGTATCGTGATGAGGGCAACCGGGTAGTCGTATACAGTGATCAACTCGTTGCTCTGGGTATGGGCTTTTTTTTCTTCTATTTCTTCTTCATCTTCTTCTTCTTCTCTCTCTCTCTCTCTCATTATTTGATAGATAAATTAAAAAGATGGATTTGATGATGATAACGACAAGAGTTGAGATTGACTTAAACTTGTTTGATTCTTTTTTAAACATGCTCTACTTTAAGATAATTATATTAAACATGATTGCGGCAGAAGATCGGATTTACTGTACGGCTGATTGAGGTTAAAGTGTCGGTTATGGTGTTTTAGATAATGATGTTCTGTCCGAGGCTGAGGTGGCGATGAAATTTTCATTCCTTGTGGCTAATCGACAACAAAGCAAGAGATGGCAGGTAATCTGAAATGTTCTTATATGCAGTGATTTATTTAAAAAATGTCAACCTTGATAACTTTGACGCGCACGTCCACAAACGGTGACAAATTGCGTTAGTTGTTCCCGATTGAGGAGAGCTAAAAAGCACTGGAAGGTTCATACTGAGCGGCAAGTGGAAAGGGATTTAACACATATAACATGGAAGAATTAAAACGCACTCTTAATAACATCATTGTTATCTCAGTAATGCATGTTGAATTTTTAAATCTGTTATACTTTTGTCATTTTGTAATCAAAGAGATAAATGATGGTAATATGAAAAAGAATGCTTATAGAAGACTAATCTGACTATTGCAAATTGGGCATTTTGCTGACTTCTTTTACTGTTTTTATATTCTATGATTAAATTTATATTATTTTCTCACATTCTAGTGCATACGGCGCATTTATGTATGGTACTCTGATAGTGCGGACTACGACACGTATAAAAAGAGGGCCGTGGAGATGTTTAATAATATTTTTGACACCATGCCAGCAGGTGATATAAATAAACGTGTCGTTTAAACCCATCGCTCTAAATCAAAATTGAGGACTATTGCTCTTTTGGGCCGCGGTATTTTATACACATTTATATATAACTAGCAGGTTACAAGACCAAAATGCAGACCGCTCTTAGAATGACAGTGATTAAAACATACATTCGGAATAATTTTAAAGATAGATGCTAAAAAAGTAAGGTCTGATTTAAGTTCATGAAAATTAAATTCTAACCACAATATGCCGATATATATTATTTAGCCTTCATTCTTCATCTGGTTTTTACCATTGAGATTATGGTCTATTTTATTCAAGTATAATAATGCAGCGTCCCGTTTACCCTCAGATTCAACAAACTACGTCATGAAGGTGCTTGGTCACGTGGAAAGAAACGTCATAATCCGAAAACTTGTCAGCATAGGTCACCTGACCCATTGCACTGATGACGTGGATTCCACTGTCTCAAGTCAGAAAACCTCGGAGATAAAACGGTCGAAAGTCTCAGTGAAAATCTCACAAGAAAAAGCTTCTCTTTATGAAAGCATCATTCCCGATTCGATTAAAAAAATCGCGGATCCAAAGAAGACAAACAACAGTCAAGGTGAAATTTTTTAACAAATTCTTTTCTATTTAAATAAGTCCAACTTATGGCGTTTTCATTCAAACTGCTGACTATAATATGGAATATTTTGTGACGCGTTAAAAATCAGATATTGTTTTTTTTTTCCTTTGAACGCACTTTGAGGTCCAATCTCACCATTTTTCAGAAATCCGCCAGCGATTCCGATCGACGATCATCTGGGTAGCTAAGAAGCAGTGCATACTTGAGGTACTGGAGCAAGCTTTCCCCAATGCACTGAATATGGACCAACTACTTAGGTATGAGATATTGCTCAAACTGTGTGTGTGTGGGGGGGGGGGGTCTCAGTTTATTTTGAAATGGTGTCAGATGCTTAATTTATTCATCGACACGTTGCAATCTAATGAGAGAACGTCACAAGTGCCACATAAAAAAAAAAAAAAAAACTTAATGGAAAGGCTTTTGTAAAATTAAAAAAAATTAAATCATTCCAAGTACTAGTACTTCTAGTTCTCTCGATTATAAATGTTAAATCCTGAGGTAAATTCAATGCTACCTCCACTCTGCTATCGTATTATCTGTCTCCAGACGCTGTAACTCCATAGAGAAAGATAAGTTCGTTGTTGTGATAATTCTGAAGGAACTAGAAAACAAAGGCCTTATCAAAACTGTCGCGGGAAAGTACATGCGTGTGCCAAAGGGCAAAGGTCATGGTGAGTTGGTTATACATATATATGTATAATGAGATTTTTTTATCATTGATTGTGTACATTATTAAGGCTGGTTATAATTCTTAAATAGAAAAAAAGGGCAAATCCTGGGAACCACACCTTCAGTGATATTTAAATCCGAACCCAGTTCAATATCTGTTTAATTTAAAGAACATGCACTGAAAATAGGTTTAGGGAAAAACAGTGCTCAATATGTACTTCGACTTTTTCTTATTCCATTCCTATTTCGACAGTCGTCAAATTTGTAAAGCAGTTTCCAACACTGCCAAAAGAGGAGCAACCTACCATCGGCGTCGTAACTGCGCTCTATTGTGAAAAGTTGGCCGTGGACGCCATGTTGGGACAGAAGATTTCTTACGTCAAATACAAGGGAGAAGGAAACGAGGGTACATATTTAGTCAAATAGTCTTAGACTCCAACTGTTACAGTAATGCCAACTGGAATTCATTGAATACCGTTTTGATCTTGGTAGATAGAATGGTAAAAATAACAATATGGTAATGTCTCCATGAAGCTAGGAATAAGGTCTTATTGGTATTGTCTTCGTGTAGGTGACAACCACGTCTACACCCTGGGGACCATAGGGCAGCACAAGGTGGTGGTGACTAAACTGGCACAAATAGGAACTGAGGGAGGAGCCGCCACCTCGGCAGAGAATACCATTACAAGGCTGCTTGGTAAGTAGTTCCCCCCTCCCTCTTCTGCACCTCTCCTTCTCTGTCTCTCCTTCTATCTCTCTCTTTCCCTCCCTTCCCTCTCTCTCTCTCTCTGTCTCTCTCATTCAGATCTAGACAGATGATATCCCCAGTTCAAACAATACAGGGTATATATACAATGCGATTGAGAAAGCTTATCATATAATAAGGAGGCCCTTAGAAAATCTTTGAAAAGTGACGTGGCAAAACCAACTATTGCATCAAGAGGGACGGATGGGGGAGGGGGGATAACTTAAACAGGTGAGAGAAACAAATCACTTGGGTATTTTCTTTTCCTGTTAAGGTACTTTCAGCTTGCTGAAACACGTATTCATTGTCGGAGTTTGTGGTGCCGTGCCAGGAACGACAACCGTGAGACTGGGTGACGTCATAGTGTCCACTTCCGGTGAAGCCTACGTTTCGTGCGATCGCGCCGACAAGGACGAGACTACAGGGAAATACGTTCCTAGTACGAGGGTTTGGTCTCCAAAGGATAGCACTCTCTCAAAACTCGCGCTTTCACTCAAAAAGGCCAAAGAGGAAGGAAACAAAAGCAAAAAATGGAGACGTAATCTTGAACAAGGTCAGAAGGCTGTGTCACAAGGAGAAGTCAACTTCCTCAATTTTGGCAAACCTGGCACCGGCGACAAAAAGCCAAAGGTCCATTTTGGTGCGTTCGGAAGCGGGAAAGCGGTAATGGCAGACGACAACTTGCGTGTGGAACTCGCAAAATCCCGCAACATAGTAGGCTTCGATCATCATTTCAGCGCCGTATTTTCGTCCATGGAAGGCAGCCGACATGATAGTTGGCTCATCATCCGGGGCGTTGCAGACAACGTTGACGGGTGGCAGCAATGTAGATGGCACTTCGGCGCAAAATGGCAGCCTTTTGCCTCACTGACTGCGGCCGCGTACCTCAAAGGATTAATCATGGCTCTGAAGTAGCAAACAAGGCAAAGTCCCGTGTTTACAGGATTGTACTGCCAGCCCCAAGATAACAATGCTTTGTAGGATTATGTAATTATTAACGAAATTTAGCAAGGCTTTAACTAAACAGAAGACAAATCAGAGGATTGGCCAAATGTCAGTCTAGGACCTATTAAAAAGAACTGCTGAACTGTCTGGACAAGGATTCGCTCGGCAAATACGATTCAATGGACGAGAAGAGCTTTACTATAATATGTGGGGCATAGTAATGGAACATGGCTTGGTCATGTCAAGTTAAGCCTTTATTACGGGGGGGGGGGGGGGTATGGGAAGGGTGTGTCTTAAAAGCTTTGGGAGAGATGGAAGTGGCCACTTTGATCTCCTCTAGATCCGTCATTGTATTCGCCAGTGTCTGCTTATACATGTACTCGAACACCATAGAGCTGAGAGATTTAATAGTTTAATAAATGAATTCTTTTTTAATTAAAAATGTCACAATGTGTTTTAGCTACTTTTAGTGTAATACGCAACTTCTAGTTGCAAGAATAAATATTATCATTATACCACCTCAGAATATCACACACTAAAAGGTTGCTGCCTGCAGTTGTCCTGTGTGAACACAGAAAGCGTGCTCTTATAAGCGTCTCTTGCCAAGCGTGAACAAGTTAAATAAATACTTGCCAAGGCTTGCTTGCTGCAAAATGACAAAAAGGAGGAAAGTAGCAAAATGAATCTAGAACCTGTTTCGGTAAGCGAAAGACCTAAAGCAGAGTCAATAACTGCACAGCTAAAAAAACAATTACCTCTAGCATAGAAATTACTCTGGAATTATATTGTTTCGATAATCTTACTCAATGATCTTTGATGGTATCACAAAGAATGGACATACCTCTCAGGCGATTAAAATCAAACCATTAGCAGCTAATGGTCTTATATATAATGGTCTTGGATATATATTGAAAATTATTAATAGTAGAATTATCCCGGCTAATGTTTGCTGCGCCATAATATTTTGCTTATGCGCAAGTCTAAAATGTGAAAAGTTGACAAATATTTTCCATTGTCCTTGCGAAGATGCTCCCCGTTTTTTAATCCAACGCGTTATTTTAAAACACCATTGGTAGAGTACTGTACTTGTAGATATTAATCTAGGACGGCGTATACAAACTGTTCTACGTGTGTGAGAACCATCCGGAAACGTGGTATTAATCTAGGACGGCGTATGCGAAGGAAGTGTGAGGTGAATCACGAATAATGTCAACAACTTCTTGCGGGCCATCGGCCTGCTCCTTGGTGGTGTTTCAGGAAGGATCTAATGTTTCTCCTCATGCGCCTCATTTGCAGCACCAGCGTGGGTACATCGAGGGCCACTATTCCAATGATAATCCCCAGCATGATTAGCATTCCGAAGCTGCCCACCGCCACCGCTCCTGGCGCCTCTAGCGGCACAAAATCGTGTTTTCTCCGCCGTTTAAGTCCCATTATGTACTCTGTTGAAAAGTTGAATATGAAATAGAATAAATGAAATAAGAAACAAACATATAATACTGTTTCATCAATAGCCTCTTCGTGGAAAAGTGTCACATGCTAAGAGTAAATTATTCTTGTCGACATATAAAGTGAGGCACATTTTCAGACATTAATAGCACGCCCCAAACATTTACCTGCACATCCAGGAATAACTGGCCACCAATACCCATCAGGGGTACAAACTGTTCTACGTGTGTGAGAACCATCCGGAAACGTGAGGTTATTGACGCATGCGTAACGGACAGTTGCTCCCACTGTGAAGTTGATTCTGTCCACCACTGCGTTTGTAACATTTAGCATGTTTGAGCAATCTTCTATAACTGAAAGGCATATGAGGTATGGTGGTCACGGCAGGAGGGATATCAGATTTATCTTTTGTTTAAAATAATTATTTACCATTATACTAGGATGACGGTCCCATTGGGGGGGGGGGGGGGAGTGATCACAGTTAACGGGAAGCAAAATCATCAATTCTCAAATCACAGTTAATAAAAATTCATTAATATCTCACTGATAATGCACATCAAAAATCCTGAAAATCACAAATCACCGGGTATTATGACTTATTTTGACGTAGGGCGGAGAGTTAAAAGTCGCATTCACTAGTCGCTTGAATGGGAGGCTTTATGACTCACGCTTAACAAAATGAACGTTTCACGCATCTCCAGAATTAAAAAAGTGGCTTTCACGGGTAACGAAATACCCAATGGAACCCTTTATTAGTATGCTAGCAAATGATCTGGTGAACGTTTGATTAATCTATAGCTACTATTTTTACCTTCACAATGAGGCAGTTGTTCCGTCCACGATCCATTTTCTGTGCATGATATTTCCTTAGCACGTGTTCTATCCGGAAACATGTAGTATCTATTACAAGAGAACTCTACCAAAGTTCCCGGATAGACGGTGGCATTGACGTTCACATTTGGTCGCGCGTTATTAACTTGCTGGATTTGTTCACACTGAACTGAAATGATATGCGGAGTATCTTTCATGCCTGTTTTCGTGTGGCACTCTTGAAACATGCAAAAGTACAATTAAATAATGCCGTTATGATCACACTTGCAAAAAATATAAAAATAGATAAATGTATAAATGAATGAAAAAAAAAACAGATAAAGAAATAAAGAAATAAATGATAATAAGACTTATCCAAAAAATTCCTATAATAGTGATAACTTTTAATTCATTATGCTATTATCTGATAGCATTTTACAATCAAAGTATAACCTATTGTGACAACATTGAAACGTTCCTAAAGTTCTCATGAGGCCTCTCAATCCTTCAGTTAAACCATTTTTATCCGTTTCATCCAGCTATCAGATATAAAGCATTTTCGTTTTATATGTCTCCACCAGTCGGTACATGAAAAGAGAAGCGATAAAAGCCAGCACAACTTACCATCAGTTGTCGTTGTTTCAGGGATTCCAGTTGATGTTCTCTCCAAGTGTTCAGTTGTTGGCATAGGTGTATTTGTGGTCGACAATGGCGTCGTTCTGCTGCTGGTTGTTACTGCTGTCGTCAATCCCGATGTATACACTTCAACGGTGACTAGCGCTGTAGGAACTACCGGTGTGACAGATGTTAATGCAACTGTTGTCGAAGAAGTCGTAAGCGAACTTTGTGTCTCAGTACGAATCGGAAGTGAGGTTGTCATCGGATTTGATGACGTCACTCCTACGATATTAGGCCCATTTGATAGGTTTCGTGTGACAAGATTAGTATTTGGTGAAGTCCCGGCTGTTGAAGTGCCAGAGCCGCTCACAGAGGGTACAGGTACACAGGTAGAAATCTGGTCTAAATTCCAGGTTCCATTACTCAGACATTTTAGCATGCTCGTGTTGAGGCCCCCGGGGAACTTGTATCCCGCGTTGCACACATACTTTACCACATCACCATACTTGTACACCCTTTCCCTGGCAGCAGGTGGTTGGTCTGCAGCTAACGGTACAAACTGCGCTGGTGGCGATAACGGGCCCTGTGGCGCAGTAGACGACTGATGTGGCTCTGTTAATGAAGGGCCTATAGTCAACATTGTCTCTGTGATGTGATCCGTTATTTGCATACAAGGAACCGCAGTAGTATTTGATAACAGAGGAGCTGTTGTTGAATTAGTTGAAGATATACATGTAGCATCCGTTGATGTCGGTCCTATTGCCGTCGTTGTCGTGTTGAGATGATTCGTTATTTCCAACTGGGGTACAGAACTATGTGATGACATCGCATGTGTTGTTGATATAGTTGGAGATGAAGGAACCGCTATAGGTGGTCCAATTGCGGTCGTTGAGACATGATCCGTTATTGGCAAATAAGGGGGCGAACTTATGCTTATTAAATTTGGGCGTGTTGCTGAACTGGTCCGAGTTGAAGAAACTGTTGAAGGCGGTCTTCTTCCCACTGTCGTGTCGTGGCGATCCGTTATGATCCTCGTATGGGAAAACCCACCAGTATATGTTGTGGCAGGGGGTCCAGGGTAGGGCGTTGCCTCCACTGTTGCCGTGGAACTGACTGATTCATTTCTAGGTGATCCAGCAAGACGACCAAAACTGATTGGCGGTGGAGGTGGACAAATGGCAACACACCGGTTGTTACTCGGTCCCAACTGGTCACTCCACTCACCGTTGTCCAAACACTGAGCCACAGTTTCTCTGAGGCCGGAGTGGTGAAACACCATGTCTTCAGAGCAATCATATACCACATGGTCTCCCGGAAAATACAGTCCCTCATAAAGAGACTCAATGGTCATATCGGTGTTGTTCAAAACAGGCGGCTCCTGGCAGAGTGACGTGCAATGCCGAGGCAGATCTGTGTCATTCCACGTGCGGTCACCATTACAATATATAACCTCACTTTCGGCCCCAAGGTGACGGAAGCTTTTGCCAGCTTCGCATGTGTACATCACAGTATCTCCAGGAAAGTAAATTAGCTCTGAAGAAGAGGCAACAACTGGCTCGTATGAACCATCTATATATTTTAAAGCCAATGAGGCCCCGGTTATATGCAAAGGGCGCGGACAAACAGACATGCATTGGCTATGTGGTGAGGAATCCCAAACTCCTTCTTCCAGACAATCCATATTAAAATACCTTTCGCGGGATACAGGAAAAGCTGTGCCAGTTTCACATAGATATGTAACGAAATCCCCAGGTAGAAAGGTCAAACGAGCCGCAATACTAGTGTTTGTCTCAATCCATGTTCCATTTATGTTTACGTAATTTTCGCCCGTGAAAGAAAATTGTATGTAGGCATTTGTTACTACAGGAGGATCGGGGCACGTGGCTACACAGTCCGAGAATACATCTCCAGATATCATCTCGTCTGAGGTGCCGACCCACAAACCTAAATCGTTACACGTGAATAGCACTCTGGGTCTCCTACTTGAGGGAAACGCTGTTCCGTTAAAGCATCTTCTCCCTATGACATCCCATGGATACCACACCGTGCCGTTCCCGCTGATCCTCTCGAAATCGTCTGATGTGATGGAGGTGTCATTCAAGAATGTGGAGTAGTTTCCTGTGACATAGAAAAGGGACACCGCCTGTCCCGCGTCTTCCGGTAGAAAGCAGGACGGTGCTTCACAAATCCCTGGGAGGCTGGAGGCGTTCCACGTACCGTCATCCTGACACGAGATCTCTATCTCCGAGCTTAATTCTCCCTGTAGAAGTAATCCTGGCCAGCATGAGTAATGTACTATGTTTCCCGCCATGAACACGTGCTCGGTTCCGTTTAAAAGTGTGTCGGTTTCGTTCAGTAGTGTGCTGTCTTCATTTACAAGAATATCGGTTTTGTTTTCTGATATGACGACAATATTAGCGGCGTATATAAGCGGTGGGGGCGGGCAGGACGCCACGCACAATGGAGACACTGCAGGGACGGACCATTCCCCACTAGGTGAGCATTCCAAGGTACGGTTTATTTCATTTGGTGCGTCAGACCACACGTACCCACTGACACAAGAGTAAATGACCGTTGAGTTGACCATAAATATGTGTCCCACATCCTCCGGCTCCGGTGTCCGCAGCGTTAGGTTCACAAATGGCGGGTCAGGACAGAGCACTGTTCCATAAATAAAAGATAGATTATGGAGAATAATATGTTAATATGATTATGTGTATCTACGCCTTCAACAATCATTCAATCGTAAAATGCATAATGGAATTTAATTCGTTCTTTGTTTTAAAATCAGAGCTAACCTGAGATATTCTTAACACATTTTATTACACTCACAACAATGATTTATCAATTTGAATCACCGGTACTGACCACAACTAAGCGACTTCTGCCTGAAGAGCTTTACTTCACTCAGACCATTTATACAGGACATCTTACCTGGGCAACTGCACGCTAACTGGTCTACGGGTGGACCCACCCAAGTTCCATTGCTGCAGGTTCTCACTCTCTCCGTGTACCCGCCTTGCATGCTGCACGTGGGGTCGCACGCGTACATCAGCTGGGTCCCGTTGGGATAACATCTAGTGTACCCAGTAGGGCGGATGGCATGAACGCTGGTATTAGCAGCTGGAGGGCCGGGTTCATTACAGGGAGGACCTGAAAGGTGATGAAACCGAAAACGCGTATTCTTTTTTGTCTTAAATGATTGTTATGTCCATTTTGCTGTGTGCTATCTCCAATGTAAAAATGGTACATATTAAGTTAAGTCGAGGGGTATAACACAAAAGGGGCCTGGCATTAGTACAACGCCACTATTTATATAAATGGTGGTCTTGGTCTGTGTATATTATGTGCATCTGGTCATTGCAAATCCAGCTTTTAGATGAAACACTGGCGGACTTAGACTCGGATATTTTTTTTTTCATATAAAGAAAGCAGTATTTACCACGTTGCCTGCAAAGTGCTGGTGTCCCGCCACCCTCGCAAGTGCTTGTCTGCCAGTCAGAACCACGTATATACGAGCAGTCCTTCTGAAGATCCGGCACCACAAAGGATGAAGCAGTGAAATCCAAGGGCGTTCCGTCGCCCCAGACGTTCCGCTGGTACAGGGACAGGTTAAGTCCAATCCAGTATTTGGTGTTAGATCTGAAATATATATATGCAGACTAAGTGGGCTTATGAATCGTAATTTGCTTAACAGTTTGGATGAGGATATAGCGTTTGAAGCAAAGTTTTTATAATTTTCAGAAACAATTCTTATTTTGCTATATTAAGGTCTTGCGCGCCTTGTACTTTTCTATGTCTTCAATAGTTATGTGCATTAACCACACATGCGGTACTTTCCTAAATAAGGTTACCGTGGTTATTAAAATCACATTCAGAAATCTGCCACAGCAACGTACTGAAGTATCGTTTTCAGATAGTTTTGCTCCCCTTGGCTGTGAATGCTTGCCAGCAGTGCGCAATCGTCGAGGCACGCTTCAATACCCATTATATAACTGCTGACGGCCGGCGTCAAGACATAACAGCTGTTATTATAGCATTTGTCAAAGACAAGAGCATTCACTGCTGAAATGAAAAGTTGGAATTGATTTCTTTCGGTTTGTTAAATTATTTGGCTTATTTTTTGTTATAATGTTTGTTACTTCTCTTCTCTGTGTCGTTCATTTTTGCATCTCTCTTAATAAAAGTGTACGATATCTAATAATTAAGTTTCTCGGATTAAAGTTGTTGGTTACCAAGTGTACCCAAATAGCTCTTTGTACTAAGACAGATGATACCAAAATGCTGTAATTATCTTCTAAATCGGCTGTTAACGAAATCAATTTGGTTGTGCATTCGTTTTTAGTTTTCTTTAATAAAGTGGGAAGAAAAGTATGCATTTTCTCCCAAGAGAAAAAGAAACCCAATGCATTGACGGCTGCCCAACAAAGCACATGGTTTAGCAACCCCAATAAAAAATATGCCGTAATAGTATTATAAGTTTGGCATCTTTATTATACGATGCTCCTGCCAACTCACCATATTGATAGGAAAATAGTCCCAGTCCAAATGTACAAATCATTGCCTCATGGACAAAATATAAAGTAAACTAACCCTAAAGTAACTACTTTAGACCATTTGGGGTTTATAACACCTCCAATATTTCACACTCGCAGTAGCATGCTCATTTCTATGCGCATTTTTTTGGTCAAATTTTATGTACTGTGTGATATGTGATAAATCTTAAAATAGACCGATGACGTTATTGCCACACATATTATTGATCAATGATGTTACATATCAGACGTCGACAATATCGGAATACAGTAATGTTACATGTACAGGTTTTTATGTTATCTTGAAAGACATTGAGTCTCAGGTATTAAGTTACATAAAATAAAACTACTGACTTCCACTTTCGGTCAATATGTTATTTTGAATGCCTAAAAAAGTGAATTCAATATCTGTATAATATTTGTTATGAGTGCCCCATTTTTGGACGTTTCCGTCAGCCATCGATTGCACAGCTGTTTGTCAATGATAAATAATAAAAGCACAACACCGCTCCAACTGATTCTAAATTTATATTAATATCGATCCTCGTTTTAAAGTTTAGGAAAACTATGAAACAGTTATTCTTTTCTAGCATCAACACTTGTGAATGATGGTCTTACTATAAGGATCCACCTAAGGAATGACTACAATGCAATTTGGTTATCTCTTCTCTATTTTTATTTTCATTTAGATCTCGCACTTTTAGAGTTTTACTTTTAAATTTCCTAATAAGACCCTCCGCAGAAATACGTTTTCAAGTTCCTTCGAAAACTTCCACGCATGTTTTACACCAGAAAATATTACAAACTGTCAGAAGTAATCGACTGAAAATGCATTGCATTGTGATTATATCCAAAAATATTCAGCAGCTTCGTATGTGCATCGTGCTATTAAACTGATTAACAACAAACAGAGACAATATGCTGTTTTCATTTCACTTCAGACATCAACATTATAATAATATAATTTGTACATTTATAATAATAATAATGATAATAATAAGAGGACACTTGTTGGTACCCTAGATGCCCGACGGCATAAAAGGAGATAATCATTATAATAAAAATAATAATAATTCTTATATTTTGATATGATACTATACAAAAAATACACAGGAGATACTGATTTCTGCCACAAGATCGTAAAGGAAAACAACTAGTTTAAAAATGTTTAATTCAGATTATCATATATACAATGAATCAATAATATATATTGAAATTATTATTGAAAAACTTGCCATCGATGAAAGAACATAACTCCTTATACATGTAGATTTAAAAATCGCGTAAAACCTGAATATTTTAAAGGATTTTACTGAATACACTGTATGTTCAGAGGTGGGGTTTTATTGCAAGTAAACTTGAAAAAATATGCATTCCCCTACAGTGCGTCTTTTCTATAAACATTTTAGGGCTACCCTATATGGAACATTTGCATTTTACAACGCCACGTAAATCAAGAGCAATGTAATGAAAATTGACTATAAAGGAGATCATTATGAGATAGTAAATCACAAGTGATACGCTAAACGTTTGCTTTTTAGCATTCAATACCACTTTTCATTCTACCGAACAACAGTGTAATTACTTTATTTTAAAAAATTTACGATGATATCTTACTTTTTTCCATTTAAATATACATATATTATAAGAAACTATGTAATAAAATAACGTACCGGTTTTCCATGACAGGATCAGGGAGGAAAATAAGGTCACCCAAGTTGCAAATTTCCCCATGTTATGGCCGTCTAAATGGAGGCAATATGGCGTTGACCTTAACTAAAAATTCCGAATTTGGATCATCTGTTTGAAACCTAGTAAACCTTCCACTCTGGTCCAAATATCCAGAATCTGAATTACTGAAGGATGAGCATCAAGTAAAACCCATCCAAATTCGAACACCGCTGCCATTTCGTATTATTGAAAGAGCACCTAAAAACGTGTCTGTGCATTTTATGGTAAGTGAAGTGGAAATTCAGCAAACAGCGACTGTTCATCAATTACCAGGAGTCAGCAACTGCGCTAACGTGGGAATAATTTAACCGCCTTTAGCCTTAGAGTGCAGTTGATGAAATCCTCTATATACGTCTTTTTTTCTTTTTGTGTCACGCCAAAGAGAAAGAAAAATCCTTTAAACAAATAATGTTTGTCATTTTCCTCATTTTGCCGCGCAAGCCAACGACGAAATACATTCCTGTTGAAGTTGGTTTGGTGTAAAGGGTGAAAAATGCAGTTTGATGATCCCTGACTGAAATTTGTCGATAAATGTACTTTCCGCAATGTGTTGAAATAACCATAAGCCAAGTTTTAGATTAAACGTGCTTATATCTTCTCCCAGACTAGAGAAGCTGCTGTTATCGAGTTATCAGTGCCAGTTACCTTCGGTGATTCGAATGCCTTTTCGTTGTCACGGAGCACTGTGTAAAAAAAAGACCGCATTCAGATTCACACATCATACCAGCTTGGTCGGTCCAACCTTGCGGGGATTCGCTCTAAAGTGCAATCAATGGAATTGGCTTAATAATCTGGCACACCTTCTCCAGCAGCGAGGGGTGATTTATTGTGCTTATTAAGCTGATTTAAATGATTGCACTTGAACGAAGACCACGCAGAGTTGGATCGGCCCAGCTAGTAGCATATGTGCATCTGAATACGCTCAAAAGGATACTGCGAAATCTTTTCAAACCATCCTTCACTTTGTTTCAGAACAGACAAACGCAGTGTATTATGCATACTTGATCCAATGGTGTGTTTACATTACAAGGCTGCTATCTCTTTTTAATGTGCTCAGCTTCTGGTGTAGAATTGAGTCTATTGAAACCCTTCAAGATGTCGATAAAAAAATGATACGATCACTTATTCAAATGCGGCCGTAATCGATTAACGTAATAGACTAAGGGCTGTTTCATTTAAAGCTAAAATTTTCTCATGATCTTTGGACAGACAAAATCAACACTGCTGCACAATTTCTATTTGCTCTTCTGCTTTCGCACCAGTAGCTGACAAAAGCACGAAAACGTTTTTTGTAGTAACTTGATGCCTTTTGGTAACGGTAGCAAATAAGAATTAATTATTGATGAACAGATGAACTCAGCTCTTGTATCAGTCGTTGCCTTCGTTGCTGCCATTTCCAGTACAAATGGGACGGCGTTAAAAATACATAGTACTTATTATCGAACCACTTGGCTTGTTCTGATTTTTGACCAGCCCTAGTCAATCAATCTAAGGGCGTGCAGAATAGGTTATTTACAATTGAGGTGGGGTGGGACGTGGGAGGGGGGGGGGGGGGGGTAATGGAGTGATATGCGTCCATAAGTGAGAAATAAGTCAACAAAAATTTATTAATTTTTTTATTGATTATAATCGAGCAGTTTGTGTGTCAGTCACTTTCAATGTAAATTTCTGTGAAACATACTGGTTGATTTGAAGCATATAATACTTGACATGAAGGGGACTAGGACTGTACTTGTTAAGAGACAAGATATTATACAGCAGATACAGGGAAGAAGACAAAGGTTTAAATTGTTATATAAATCATTTTTAAGCGTAATATTTCACGTGTTCTCCATAATGTTTATAGTAACACATTCCAGATTTTCATCATTTTCCTGTCTTTAACAATTTCCCCTCCTCTTCTCGTGAGAAGAGAAATCAATGTCTAGTCAACATTTCTTAATTTCTTGTTTTCGAGTTTACAATTTGTCAGCCATTTAGACCTTGTGATTTGATAACAGAAAAGAATAAAGCTGAAATTGCATAAGACTTAAACTGAAAAGAAAAAAAATGTCATCTTTGTTCAATGACTTTTCTAATCACTCACGGGCCAAAACAGCTCTGTAGGCTTACTGCATCTTGTGTATAAACACAAGTACATGTAGGTGCATTCGATATTTTAACTAAATGAAAATTATGAGGTTTAAGATCGATGATCTGCTTTATTTCTCGCTCTACTGTAAAGCGGATTTCCCAAGTCTGACTTTTAAATCGATAGCGGAGAGTGTAAACGTAATTCACATCAGCGTGTGAAAGAAAACGAGTAAAACACAATACGGTCCATATCGATCCAACTGAAGAGTGTTATTTATATTAAAACAAAACTTGCATACTTAGAGTCGAGTGCATTTCTAATATTCCAGTATATTTGCTTATACATCGAAACAAAAGTTTTTGCGAAGCACAGTCTATTTTTACTAAATACGTAATTCGCTACGGGATGTTTTTCAATCGAACAATCTTAATTTGTTCATTTTTGTAAAAGAAAGGCATTATTATAAGAGTGGATAACATTAGACATGCTTGAGCACGACCAAAATATCAATTTTCCTCCTTTTCATCCAGTTGAGAGAAGGTTTGTGAACATTACATCGTTTCCATTTAGAAGGGATTTTTTCTGTTTAAGGAAAAATCAATTGACTTTTGAACAATTTGTGTAACAGCCTACCGAGGCTGACAGATTTTTTTTTTATCATTTATTCCTTGCAAAAAGTCTCGCTGGATACTGTAGAGAAAGATGTAAATGATTAGTCACATGACATGTACATTGTATGTGATTTGCTTGAATTTGGCTTGTCTTGAAGAGAAGTGTACAAACGCAGTATCGAGTGACAAGTTATTCTCTTTTCCACTGGCGTCTTTTTGGGGGTGAAAATAAACCACTAAGGGAATTTTATTCTAACAGGCTGTCAGTGGCAGTGCATGGTAAGAACCTTGCTATTTTTAGGATGCAAAAGTATCACTTGAACTTTTCTGACTGTTTACTAGAAAATTGCGACCTAAAAACTACTGCAATTTGCAGTACGGAGGTTGAAGCTCCATGCAGAGTGCACCCACGAAAATGGTAAAATTGCTTGTAAACTATTAAAAGAAAAAAAATACCATGTCTGTGATGAGTTATAGAAACGAAATCTATGCAACCTATCCACTAAAGAACACAAGTAAGGCTACTGAATATATCAGTGAAAAGTCCCCGGCATAACATTATATATTTGGAAGTGAGACCTCGTCAGACTCGTGAAACTGGGTATAGTAATTGAATTTCGCGTGTGCACACTCGATGTAGTTTCCATTGTTCTGAAAGTTGTTTTACATGATTCTCCTCGCATATAGCAACAATTAACGTCGATTTAAAGAGCAAAAAAACTATTTCACCTTGGGTAGTAAATTCTTTGTAATTATTTGACTGAAGCTAAACATAAAAGATCCTTATTTCTTAACCTGCAACATGGCATAAGCCTTCCAATAAATGTTAAAATGTTTATATACTTTTCATTCATTTAGGTAGAAAGCCAAGTACAAAAACTGAAGTGCCATGGAAGGAGAGGGAGTGACTCCAAACAAGGGCCAGTACTGTGATACAAGATAATTCTGATGGTTGCATCAGAGCACAACGGGTGGAAGAACTCACACAGGCTAGACGAAAACTTTTTAAATGCAAGAGTTGTAAAAGAGATTCAGTTCAAAAGAGAATTTTAAACGGCATAAAATTACTCATACGGTAGAAAAACCTTTTAAATGCCAATACTGTGAAGAGACATTCGTATCAAAACGCACCAACATGAGAGAGCTCACACCGAAGAAAAACAATTTGAATGTCAGTATTGTGAAAAGAAATTCCATCTGAAAGGCACTTGTGAACGACATAAGACGACTCACACTGGAGAAATCATTTCAAAATATGCACAAGAGATAACAGAAAGTGGATTAAAACAAAACATTTCTGTCTTGCTTAAAACGGAGACTGAGGGGCCACTAAATTCAAAAAGGGAATTCCAAATGAAACTGTAGCTGAAGGGACAAATGAGATATCAAATGGAATGTACACAGAAACACTGGCCTCAGAAGACTATATGAAAAGTGAATTTGGCAATAGCATTGTTGTGGAAATACCCGTACAACCAGAAATATATCCTGTAGCAGTGTTTAGAAATGTTTTTGCAGATTCTGATGTATGGTGACTGAAAATACATTAAAACAGTGGCTTAAACCTTTGTGATACACTGATTTTGGTACTAGCACAGTTAGATGAGCTGTTATCAAGATCTATCGAATATCACTGTGAACCAGGCAATAACTTTGAGTAGAGACAATATTGTAAGACTGCAACTTAAATGAGACATGACTGATTTAAATAACAACCAAGCACTGATATTTTTCGTCAATCTCATTGACTTATCTTCTGACTGCATACATGTACAATATGGCAGGTACGTGTATTGAGTTTTCCATCTTGCATCTATAGAGCAAATTATTTTTCGTGAAATTTCACACAAGACACATTAAGTAGTATCAACAATTTTTTTTTATTATTGCAACATTTTGAATTTCAATGCCATGCTTGCAATACTTCACAAAAGTAATGCCTTATGTGAATAGCTGTCCGAGATATAGGGAACAAGCCTTGAAGTTCAAATTTTATACAATATCTTATTATGAACTGTCTATTGTATAGTATATTACTGTAAACTATTGATTTTATTAATTATTTATATATCAAACTGGTCAAAAGTTTGTCCCTCCTCCAGTTCCACGCATTCCTGCGTACAGTTGATCACCTCATAAATAGTGTTTATTATCCCAGATGCCATATCTGAAATGACTCGAGTTACAGAAAGTACAAAGTATCAATGAAGATATCCATGATATTCCATTTCTTCAAATTTAGAGCATGCATCCCCTTTTTGACCAATAGCATGCAATATATATATATATATATATATATATATATATATTATAAATAACATTATATATGCATAATTCTTTATCATAATGACACGCACTTTATATGTTATATGTATGTATATGTTATAAATGGGTTTTTTAAAAGTTATTTTATATTCCTTGTTATGTTGGATCTAAAAACTAACGTGTGGGAATAAAAAAAATATAATCGTAATATATAGATGTAAACTAGTTCTGAGCTTACAAGTGCGTAATAAGTCTGATTTAAAAAAAAAGTGTGACAATTCGTGCGTTTTTGGGAATCTGAAAGATGTATGTCAACTAGACAATATTTGCTTGGCTGTTTGTCGTCTTTCTCTCCCACCCTCGGCGTATTTTGGTCACTGGGATACTGATGCACGGCAGCAGACACAAAATCCTGAGGAGGACAACCACAAAAGGGAACAGCAGGACATTCCAGGAATTGGTCTCGTAAAAGGCTGTTTCCTGCCAGTACTCACCCCCCATGCAAACAACATGCGCAATACTCGTTAAAAAGCAGACGGCACCAACGTAGGACTGTATGCACGTCCATTCCCGCCAGCTGAGGGTCTGTTGCACGGAGGGGAGGGTGGCAAACCCGACAATGGCCATAAGTATCAGCGCAATTGTGCCGGCTAGGAGCATCGTCTCACCTGAAGCAATGTGTGAGTCACATTAATGTGCCTAGGAAAATGAATTACACTTTTGACACCCAATTACCCTACCCTCTACCAGGGTCTCAGTTATTATTATGGACATTTTTTTTTTGCTGAATCGACATCAGACAAAAATGACTGTATATTTATCTAGAGACATATCTGTGAATATCTGTGAAAAATCGATCCGTCGCCCTGGTAGAGGGTACAATTACCCCTACAATTACGTCCAAGAATGAGCTGTACCGACTCCTTTTGTTTAAGCACGGTCACGCCTGCGCAGGGATGAAGTAAAAAAAAAACTTTTGGCAACATCAGTTCATACATGTATTCTACAACTGTATTTTCAAACTACATAGAATATTTTATCATTCAGTTAAAGCAATAATAACTCTTCGTTTCGGCCAAAAAAATGAATTTTCCTGGAGTAAACAACAATTTTTCCATACTTACCAATGGTTATTGAATCCATTTTTACATTCAAAGTTAGTCCCTGGTTTTTTTCTAAAAAGTTTGTTTTTTTGTTAAAATCTCTTAAGAGATTTTAACAGAGTATAGACATCAATGGAGGTCACGTGGTCTAAAGACAAGTTCAAATATCAGAATAAAAGCTATAACTGCTGTTTTTGTGGTAAAACAGAATATATTATATTTCTATGAGTTATTCACAAGGTTTTTATCGTGAAATATAGGTCTCATACGAAGAGTTATTATCCCTTTAATATTCATTGAATATGACACGTCATAAATGAATTGTCCATCAGATAAAGTTTACCTTTCCAATTCATCTTCCCAGCGATGGGAATGGATGCCGTGACGAGGTCTGAGGCATTGACGCGTCGTACAACGTCCACCATCTCCACTTCATAGTAATAGTCGCTCAGGTAGGCCAGGTCGTATTGGGGCAGGGCANCGCCCTCTCGCACCGATTTTGGGGTACCCAGAGGATGTCATCCATAAAAATAAAAAGGTGTGGCCTTAGTTGATATATATGCTCCGTAACATGGAAACAGAACATTAATTGTGAAGCAACGAAAGCTGATACACACACGCACTCTCTCTCTCTCTCTCTCTCTCTAACGCGCGCGCGCGTGCACACACTCACACGTCACTATCGTAACCGAATGTATGCACGCGCGCGCACGACACGTACATGAATATATGAGAGTTCTCTCGGACACGCTATAAAGGCACATGCACTGTAAGTGTGTGATATTCATCAGATAAAGTTTACATTTATTATTATTGCTCCTCGTGATCTTCAGCCTTATCACTAGTTTTTATTATAATTATTTATTTTATATCTTCACGCTGTGCATGCATTACTCGTGTTCTGTATAAGTTTCGTGAAGTCATAGACATGGCCTATGTCGTCATGTTTCTTTTCATTTTCTCAATGTACAATTACCTTCATCCACACGTCAAACCAACGAGGGAACTCCTTGTGCTTCGTTCCGTTCACGAGTTGCAAGATGGCGGCGAGAGGGGCAGGGAGATACACACACGCCAGCAGCTGAAGGGCGGCAAACCCGAAGGCCAACATAAGCATCATGGAGGCGAACTGGTTGTAGTTGTACTTCGGTGTCAAGGGCACCCAGTAGAATTTTAGCAACAGGCTCAGTGTGGATACAACCAACACAAAGAAGGAGAAAAGAAGGGGAAAACCCCATCCTGGGAACAGCTCCAGTGTCATCAGTTCCACCTGTTACGATACATGTTATTGTCTTTAGATAAGATATTTTGATAGATATTTTCCTTTTCGTATTAATATCCTTTCTAAGAACTAACCGCTTGTCTTATTTTTTTTTATGTCTATATAGGATTAGAAGCATAAAAACTTAAGTGATTGCGGGCTAAATTACAGGGTTTTTTTTTTTAGTGTTCGTGATAATTTGGATTATTATCCCTACAGGTATGTACATGTGCGAGTAAAACCAATTAAAATATATGCTACAACACAATCTAAACGTGTTCCAATTTATTATTATCAAATCTGACGTAAAGTACATGTTATAGCTGTTCACGTAATGCAAACCAATAATGCCGACCTGCTTCCATCGTTCAGATGGATGGATCAATGGAAGACGCTGAGAAGACAACCGTCAGTCATAAAACATGTACAGGCATTCGTTTATTAGCATATAACGCTTTTATAACATAGAAACTAGCGGTTTACGTAGATCGGTCCAACTACAGAAAAGCTGGCGATTATACGGTAACGTTGGAAAGAAGAGGAGGTCGGCATATTAATCTCCTAGTTCAGAGTCTCCGCAGCGTTGGATCGATATACATAGACCGATAGCTTCAATGGGAATGAGTCCTATCTTTATAGTTACCCACCTTCCGAGCGGCCAGCAACCCCCCAAAATCAATGGGGACAAACTCCATGTCTCGGACCAGCTGGTGGACCTGGGATTTCGCCTCATAGTTGTTCCCGCAAACATACACCGCACGCCCGCCTCCGTACAGCTCCGTCTCCAAGGCGTACACTGACACCACATTAAACGCCTTAACGACGAGCGACGCTGGGAGAAGGGCTTGCAGTGCTTCCGCGTGAGATTCCCGCGACAGCGACCTAGAGGACGACGCGTTGCTGACATCAACGACGATTTTCCCTTCCAGAAGCGACTCTAAAGGTTTGAGGGTCTCCTCATAGTGCTCGGGTCGAAGTGCTGCTATCACAATAGTACACGACCTCGCGACGTCTTCATTCGAAGAAGGAACCATGGTAACGGAGTTGCCATCTCCAGTTTCCTCGGTTACGGCGTGTTTACCTGATGGGTTGCGGCTACCGATAAGAAACTGATAAGTGGTGAAGCCGAGACGCGTGGCAAATGCTTTGCCAAACTGGCCTGTTCCGATGATGCCTATAATAGGCTTGGCCTGCGTCCCTTCCATGCCGTCTGTGCTTTTCTGCATCCCTTGGTTAACTACCAGACATAGGCCTACAT